CGGAAGATTCCAAACAGCGTGAGTTGGATCCTGTCGGAGAATCCCTTCTGATCAGACGGGAACGCTCAGAACCAAGTTAATGGGATCATTTGGTGTGGATGGCACAAAATCCCTCTGTACTTCTCCACCGGTCCTGTCATCACTCTAGGTGAGAGCTCGGTGTAGTTAGGTGTGTTCGGTGTACCAGGGGTGCTTGCCTGCTTAATGGACGAGGTGGTGTGCCGGCGTGGGGGAATCTCATTGGATCATTCCATCCGTGCCCGAGCAGATTTACGGTACCTGCTCCTTGGTTGCTCCCCTCCATTCCAGATTCAGAGTAGGTTTTTACGTGTGTCCATCTCGGTCTCTTGGTGCCGGTACGTATCACAACTTGCGCCAGCGCTGCTTACCTCATTTGTATTTGGTAATTGGTCCTTTCTGCAGCCCTCGTAAATCTGACAGACGGCAATCTCTCCGACACGTGCAACGGCAGGCAACATTGGCACGCAATTGTCGCCGACGACCCTCTTCCGCCTTACATCCTACCTAAGCACCCAAGCCACCCCCAAGCGTCAACTTGGCATCATACTCAACGGACTTGTCGGCCCAGTTGGCTTCAAGATCGGCACACCAGTCTGGTGTTACACACACACACTTCGTCTGCTTCGAGTCTACTCTGTTCCTCCGCATCCCGAGACCCCTTTCCAATGCATCTCAGTCAGTCTCGATACACGAAAAAAACCCTTCATCCGGGTTCGCGGAGGACGTTGTGATGGATGCATGACCCCAAGTCGGCAAAGTTGCTCCGAACCTAGCGTGCAGAAAATCCACCCGTGATGGATGAACTTTGTGCTATGAGCACTGGGCGATTCGTGTCGCAAGCGACATTCTTGAATTAGCACTCAGCATCATGTCGGCCTAGCAGCCACGGCGGATGAATCATCTTTGCAGCGGGCACACCGTTCAAGAGCCTATTCAATGGGAACTGGGTACAGGTTGTTCGAACTTCGCCCTAGTTCTTCTCCGCTCCGCACCACAAGGCAATGCTTGTCTGATCAAGCCTATCGAGCTGTCGTTTCTTTTTTCGGTTCTCGTTTCTTTTCTCCGACGTCCTTATTATTCATCGTCTCAAGATTCTCGAGTGTTGAATCACCGGACGAGTCACCGGCAGGCGAACCATCGGGCACACGGTTGCTTTACAAATCAACATGGGAAACATTAGTCTGAGTAGTAGGGACGGGCGCAAGTTTTGATGATGTGGCGGCATTCAGTGGGCAACAAGCGCAGCCTTATCCGTCTGCAGCATCCAACGAGATGCCTGTGAAACTCGAGCTATTCCCAACTGGCTTGTACCAGGTGTTCGCAAGTGCGTCTCTAGGGGCTCGGATCGACCCCAAAGAACGATACATTGCGTACCTAGACACCTGGACTGAAGGCTCTGACTCCTCCGCCCGAGTTACGCCCACCCAAACTCCGCAGATAGGTCGTTATGTCCATTACTTCCACCGAGTCGGCGGAACCGGTACTGCACGCTGCGTAAATGCAGCCCCATGAGCAGAGACAGGGGGGCGGCTGATGTACAGTAAGCGATGCAACTTCGGAGAGCCTATCTTGGCCTCCAATCTGCCTAAGCAGAGAGCCTCAGCGGGAACAGAGGCCCCCAAGTTAAGCCCACAAGGGATGTTGCGGACTTTCGGAACATTCCAGATCTACGAAATGGAGTCAAGCCTAAGATGAGATATACTCGACTGTCCAGTGCAAGAAGAGGGATGCATCACGAATCGCAACCACACCTGCGGCACGCATGCGGAGATTGGACGATTTTCACTTCTGTCGTTACCAAGCAGCAGCGCCAAAGTCGTGCAAAGGTTCTCACATCTTGGGTCATTTTCCCTTTTGGGCTCGGTGCTAAAGTGTTTGTAGTAGGGCTTACCAATGACGCCCTTACATCACGCTTCGAGTCGTTCATACGTACCGCCGTAACGTCCCAGCCTAACGCATCCTTCTCGGACCTGAACGCACCACCAGCATGTTGGGACGACCCGTCGCCCGTTATGTTACCGCGACATAGCACAAATGTTAGTCTTGCACCATACACAATGAGCCATCGCATCAAATGTCTCCGTTCAGGAGCTCCCCCCTTGTCAGCTTCTCACCGCGCCCAGGCGTCTACCGCACTTCGGAGTGGACCAAGGCCACACTTGCGGGTTGTCTCTCTTCCTCCGAGCGGCGGGCTACCGGCGTCAACGCTTTCCAAACTCCGACCCGCATCGCTTCCAGATTCTTATCATGGTGTCTGATCAGACACATAAGAGAGCCGGGCCTCCCCCCGGTCTTTCACTCTCGTCTATTTTGTGGCACGCACCTTAGAAACATTCAGCCTCAACCTGATTATCCTAGCATCCAACTCTGGCTTGGATTTTAGAAGCCACAAGCCGTTGCAGGCATATCAAACTTTCAGTCATAACGCCAGAGTACTCGACCTACTTGCTTGGCAACACCGCAGCCATGACTTCAACCACCAGCACCCTAGTAACACCACGAGAGAAGACCGGGGAGAAGACAGGAGGAGAGACAGATAGAGAAAACACTCCTACACCATCGATGCTTGACGAAGAGCCAGTAGAGAAGAAGGAGGAGGCCGACACCGCGACCGATGAGGAAGCCGGCTCATCACAACCAACGGAACCCAAAGAGCCCGAATACCCCACCGGGATCCGGCTCACCTTCATCGTCGTCGCTCTAGTTCTCAGCATTTTCTTAGTTGCTCTCGATATGACCATTGTCGCAACCGCCATTCCCAAAATTACGGACGAATTCCGCGGTTTGGATCAGGTCGCCTGGTACGGTGCCGCTTTCTTCATGTGTGTTGCCGCTTTCCAGTCAACTTGTAAGTCATCCGACCCCTCCTAAACGCCCTTCCTTCTACGAGAACATCACTAACACCATCGTGAACAGGGGGTAAGGCATACAAGTACTTCCCACTCAAGACCTCGTTCCTGCTCTCCATCTTTATCTTCGAAGTTGGCAGCCTCATCTGCGGTGTCGCTCCCAACTCCGTCGCCCTCATCGTCGGCCGCGCCATCGCCGGTGTTGGCGCCGCAGGTATCGGCTCCGGTGCCTACACCATCATCGGCTTCTCCGCCCCTCCCGACAAGCGACCCACCTTCACCGGTATCATCGGAGCCTCGTACGGTATTGCCTCGGTCATTGGGCCTCTGATCGGCGGCGCCTTCACCGACCACGTTAGCTGGCGCTGGTGCTTCTACATCAACCTCCCCATCGGAGGTCTCTCTGCCGCCATCATCCTCTTCTACTTCCACACCCCGCCACAGGCCGTCCCTGTCAAGGCGAGCATGCTTGAGAAGTTCCTCCAGATGGATCTCATTGGCACCGCCCTCATTATGGCTGCGACTATCTCCTTCCTACTCGCTCTGCAGTGGGGAGGCCACCAGCACCCCTGGAACTCGTCCACCGTCATCGGCCTCTTTGTCGGCTTTGGCCTTATGATTGTCGCTTTCATCGTCCTCGAGTGGTATCAAGGCGAGCGTGCCATGATCGCGCCCCGCCTCATCAGCGACCGCACCGTCTACATCTCCTCCGCATACGCCTTCTTCTTCGCCGGCGCCTACTTCGTTCTGGTCTACTACCTGCCCATTTACTTCCAATCCGTCGACAACGCATCTCCCACGCAATCCGGCGTCCGCAACTTGCCACTCATCATCGCCGTCACCATCGCCACGGTTGCCTCGGGCATCTCCATCTCCGCCACAGGACTTTACACCCCAATCCTCGTTGTCGGCGCTGCTCTCGCTACCGTCGGCGCCGGCCTCCTCTACACCCTCGACATCGGCACTGGAAGCGACAAGTGGATCGGATATCAGGTGCTCGCCGGTCTCGCATGGGGCGCGGCCTTCCAGGTTCCCATCATTGCCGTTCAGGGCACAGTCAGCGAGAGTGATCTTGCATCTGCCACCGCCGTTCTGCTCTGTAAGTCCATCTCTAGCAAATTACCTTGGATGTAATTACTAACACCAAATCTTACAGTCTTCCAAACCGTCGGCGGAGCCTTCTACGTCGCCGCAGCCCAGTCAGGCTTCCTCATCACCGTCCTCAAAAAGGTCGCCGAGAACGTGCCCAACGTTGACCCCAACCTCGTCGCCCTCACCGGCGCAACACAGATCCGCACCGCCTTCCCCGCCGACGCCGTGCCGGGCGTCATCCAGGCCTACATGGACGGTCTCAAGGTCGCGTTTGCCCTGGCCGTCGCCGGCGCCGGCATCTCGTTCCTCATCTCTCTCGGATCGAGGTGGAGCAAGCTCAACACCAAGAACCTGGCTGGTGCCGCCTAAATCATTGTCGTTTCGTCATGAGAAAGAAGCGGGAGATTGCATATTCACAAATTCTGGGCTTTCTTGTTCGACTCTAGTTAGCTTCCCCTTTTGTCTTTCGCTAGATACCATGTTCGACTGTGCAGGAAAGTCTTATAGAATCTAATAACAGGCAGACGGGCCATGGAGTTTTGGTTGCATTTAGGGATAGGAGGAGGAATCTTGGTCTATCTACGAGGGTGCTTAATCCAGGGCAACTCAACTCTTATGTTTTACGAAGATAATGTCAGATTCTAATTGTCAATGCACAATATGTGTCAATATGAACTCTTGTTACGATGTGAATCACTGATTAAGTCTGCTTATGCTCCACCACCGTGGTTTTGCTGAGCGCTAATTCGTATTCAAACCTGAATAGAGGCTGGAGAATGAATCCGCTTTCACCTACATTGTGTAAGGTGAGGTGAGATAAGGGTCGGATGTAGGACAGACATGCACGGCAGGTGTAGAGGGACGACGAGAACAGCGGCAAGAGTAAGACGGGAGCGGTGAAGCGGCGGAGGAAAGTGCGAATGTACCTTGTTAGAGTATGCTCAAATCAGGTCTTCTCTCCCCTTGCCCGTATTTGTTCTTTCCTCATATTGCATGAGTTGATCTTTCAGATTCCATTCGGTACGCCTCACTTCCTCGTCAAGCAAATAACTCCTGAGTCTTCCGCCTCGTCTCCCCAGCAGACGAGTCCGCAGGCGACTGCTCAACCTTGTACTCGAAATCTTTCTGTATCCCCCTCACCAGCCGCAGCTCCGTCTCGCTGTCCTGCGCCGAGGATACGCGCCCATCGCTGTCGCCTTCCAGCCGCACCGCGCCCTTCTGCCACTTCCTCGACCGCAGCGACATGCCGCCCGAGCCCCCGATCGTAGGACCCACGTACTTTGCCGTCGTCTTCCTCGTTGTGTTTCTGTTCTTGCTGAGCAGGAAGCGGAAGGCGGGAAGCGTGGCGACGATGATGCTGACGGACGACTCAATGTGGCTCCACATGCTCAGGAGCACTGGCCCGTTGGCCACCGTTGTTGGGTCCTTTGCTGCGTCGCCGGTGGCTTTCGTCACCTGCGCGAGCCGCGCGATGGCAAAGGCTACGATGATGCCACCGAGGGAGAAGAGGATAGCTAGGCCGAACTTGTGGGATGGGGAGGTGCTCAGCTTGCGTAGAAGGTTGAGAGGTAGGATCATGACTGTTTGCATTGCGTAAGTAATATGGGACGCCTACTGCAGCTTCGAACCCGACAACGTACTGAGGATATCTGCCGCGACATCTGCGCTCGTCGCGAACTTGATAGAAGCATCTGCTCGTACCAGGTCTTCCGGCGCACTGCAACCGGCTGGTTCTACAGCGTCAGCCATTCGTCCAATAGTCTTGGGTTCGCGAAAACGTACTAGCACTCCAATACTTCGTCAACGGTGTGCATGTCAAAAAGTTGGAAAGCATGCAAGCTAGATACAGCACCAAGACCGCACCGAAGCACACCCACCAGGCGCGAATGTATTTGGGCAGTCCGGTGACAAGCCTTCGTACGAAGAAGAGAATGGAGAACTTTGCTGTTCATCACACAAATACGGTCAGCGTTGTTGACCACCGTCTTCGTTGTGCCGATAAGAGAGGGGAGAAACATACCGGCCCACAGTGTCGTCCAGAACAGCAGCATCTGGCAGAACATCAACTTGAGGGATGCAATCGTCCTGCCAATGAACTCTTCGGGCGCAAGAGGCAAAGGTGCCAGAGGATCCTTAGCAGCCGCCTTGGTATACTCGCCGGCGAGGTAGAACTGCGGCAGCATGCAAGTGATGACTGCAGTCAAGGCCGTCAGAGTGACGAAGCCCGCGATGATGAAGTAGTCGTCGGCAAAGAGGCGCCGCTGGAGGATCCATTGGAAGCTGCCTCGAAAGACTGTCATTCCAAAGGCGGCTCCCCACATGACCCAGATGAGTATCTATCAGACGTAAGATCTCGTGTCAGCTAACGAATAACGGAGTGATATAGGGTAGCGTGGCCAATGCGACGGTTACGACCGAGGCACGGATCAGAGATCGACAAACGGAGACGTTGTCCCGGCCGTGCCGGACTCCGAGTAAGCGGGGGCGGGGCGGCACGGGCGGGTCGGTTGGCTGCTTACCATCATCTCAGTATAGCCGAGCACCGGAGTCGCCATATTGCGAGTCGTTCGTCTTCCGGACGATGTAGGTTTGCGTCTCTGGATCGGTTGGTGGGTTACTCAGAAGTTCGACAGCGGCACAGCAGCTGAATATCGGGAAAAGTGGCCACACGAGGGCATTAAAAGAACGCATTCACGTTGCTTTTTTCTCTTTTTGCATTTTGCCTTCGCCCCCCGAACCGACCTGCTGGATCAGGGGCACTACGCCGAGACGCATCCTGCCCATGCGAGTTGACAGAAGGATGGAAGGGATTCTCGTCACTCACCTGCGGGAATACCGGCTAGGTTTGCGCCATACCAGCAGGGCAATATTCTTTTGCTGTTTCTCGCTCGTGTCAACGGACATGCTAGCCCGAGTCGGGATTCGGACGACGTGGGGTTGAACAAGGGTATTTGGATATCGACCGGGGGCTTGCCACCAACGGCAGCACCTCATCTCGCGTCTGCGAGGATGCTACCGACCTGCCAATGAGAGAGTCGTCGAACCATGACACTACTGCACTCGATGGCAGACCTCAACCAACCTGCATGATCCCCTCCGTCCTTCGCTAACGATATTTCTGCAGGTTCATGGGATCGCCTGGGGGGAAATTCCTCCCAATTTTAATATACTTCCCATCGCTACGAAACTGGGTTCGAAACCCGGAATCCCGCGATAGAAGAATGCTTGACTTTCCTCCTGCATCCAGACCTCCTTCGCGTTTCGTCGTGGTTCGTCGCTTCTCTGACTCTCCTGCCAAGTTACCTTAGTCAATAACCATGGTTCGTGGCGCATCCCTCGTCGCCAACTTGCTGGCTGTTGTCGCAAACACCCTCGCCGTTGCGGCTGAGGACATCGCTGACGCTGCTACCACTTCGACTGTTGTAGCCAGCCTTGCAGGTTCAGAGAAGATTGCTTGTGGGCTGCTCAACTCCCACTACCCCAAGCAGACCTTTTACTCCGGTTCCGATGGCTACGCGTATGAGACACAGACACAGTACTGGTCCGCGACAGAGTACAACACACCAGCTTGCGTCTTCGTTCCGCAGAATACTCAGCAAGTGTCTTTTGCTGTTACCACATTGACTCTGAGCTTGACCAAGTTCGCCGTCCGCAGTGGCGGTCATATGCCAGTCGTTGGATACAACAGCATCGGATCGTCCGGTGTCCTGCTATCAACGTCAAATCTGACCACTCTGGCCCTCTCCAGCGACAAGTCCACTGTATCTGTTGGTGCTGGTTACAGGTGGAGAGATGTCTACTCCTACCTTGCACCTTCTGGCTTAGCAGTCGTCGGAGGCCGTATCGGCGGTGTTGGCGTCCCCGGTTTACTTCTTGGGGGCGGAATTTCCTTCTACTCGAACCAGTACGGTTTCGCAGCCGACAACGTTGTTCGGTACCAGGCCGTGCTCTCCAGCGGATTAGTCGTCGAGGCGACCGCTACCAATGCCTACTCGGACCTCTTCTGGGCGCTCAAGGGCGGCGGCAACTCCTTTGCCATTGTCACTCGCTTCGACCTCAAGACCTTTGTGTCGCCAAAGGTGTGGGTAGGAATCTCGCAGTACGCGCAGGCGGACAGCGCTAAGTACCTCGACGCCGTCTACAACTTTGGAAAGTTCGGTTCCGCGGATGGCAAAGCCGCCATTATTCCCACCATCCTCACCTATCCTTCCTATAACATCACCGCGTACGCGGCTGCCCGGTTCTACGACTCAGAGACCGCGCCCACGACGGCATTCGAGAACTTTACCTCTCCTGCCCTGACGCCTGTGGCCGATTCCTATGCTCTCCAGCCTCTCGCCGATTATGTGAATGCCGTTGATGCACTTCAACCCACCGGTCTCCGACAAGAGTTAGTTGTCTAAGCCCCTCGAACTGCTATCTTACCAAAGCACTAACTCTCTTCCAGATTTCGCGTCATGTCCCTTGTAGTCAACCGCGACGCAGTAGACTACGTCCACGACACCTTCCTCGCAGCCACCAGCGCCGGCCTCGCCAGCATCGTCGGCCTCTCGGCGTCCATCACCTTCCAGCCCATCACCAAGGAGTTCATCCAGCAGGGCGTCGCCAAGGGCGGCAACCCCCAGGGCGTGGACCCGTCCAAGGCGCCGTACTTTTGGGTCGTCGAGAACCTGACGTGGCAGGACGCCAAGGACGACGCCGCGGTAAAGGCCTTTGCCGACAGCGTCACGGCGAAGATCGAGGCCGGGTTGGTGGCTAAGGGCGTTGCGGGCGGGTATCTGTACTTGAACGATGCGGGACAGGGGCAGAAGATATTCCAGAGTTACCCGGCGGCAAACTTGGCGAAGCTCAAGGCTATTCGCGCCAAGTATGACCCGCTGAGGATTTATACGAACCTCTTGGTTGGGGGTTGGAAGGTGCTTGACGCCTGAGGATTATCTGATACTGACGGCCACTGTCTTTTTACACTAACCAGCTCAGAATAATGTTTATAGTAATGTATAGTTAATTTGTGCATGACGATCAGCCTCGAAATTTGACATGTTTGTCTCTGATCCGACGAGATTCTGCATAAAAGTTGACTGATAGGTATTGCCGTATAGTCCGTTAATATTGCAGTAACACCATCAGAACGTACAGTCAGCCGCCTTCTTTCGCTTGTCGATATGAATCCTGTAGTAAATATCAGCAGAGCCATCGTAGTCCGACCAAGTCATCAGCAAAAAACAAGATCAGCTGTTACTGGAAAACAAAATTCAACTTTTCTAGGTATTCCAATCTCGCTATAAAATGCAAATGCGCCCTTTCCGCCTCTACACCTCTTACTCACACACCCCGCGGCAGAAATCTATGAAGAACCTCCCGTAACCTTGACACTACCATCCTCCATACCAAAGTACGCAGCGACGGGCTTCTGCGCCAACCCAACCTTGCCGGCAGCAGCAGCCTCGACACCGTTGAGACCGTGGAAGATACCAATCTCGACGATACCGGGGATCATGAGCAGCTCCTTGGCCAGAGCCGAAACCTCCCACGCGCCACTCGCGTTACGGGCACTCCCGTCGGACACCTCAGAGGAGAGGAGAAGCTGCGGGAAGGGCGCGTCAATGAGCCACATGCCGTTGTCGGTGACGACCTCGCCGGCCTTCCCGGGGGCGCCGGGCCGGACGGCGGGCTTGACGGCGCCGAGGGCTGTGAGCCTGTCCAGCACGTCGGGGGCGGACATGGGGAGGACTTCGATGGGGATGGCTTTCCAGTTCGTGAGCAGTCTCGCGGAGAGCTTGCGGTAGTCTGGGATATCCAGTCAGCTACATTTTCTTAGGTCTCCCTGCTCAAGGGAAAAAAAACCTACCAGCGACGACAACAAACTTCTTGGCAGCAATAGCAACAAGCTTCTCCTGGAATAAACACGCGCCGCCGCCCTTGATGCAGTTGAGCTCGGCGTCCACCTCGTCGGCGCCGTCAAACGCGACGTCAATGGCGACGAGCTTGCCGTCCGGGCCCACGGGCCTGTCGTCGAGGTTACACAGGCGCAACCCGGCAGCGCGGATGAGGCCCTTTGACTGGCTGCCCGTCGGGAAGAAGGTCATGTTGCCGTAAAACGAAGGACCTTTGGCGGCGATGGCGTCTACGACGTAGACGACTGTGCTGCCGGAGCCGATGCCGACGTAGCGGGCGTCTGGGGCGAGGTGTTCGTCTACGGCGCGGTAGGCGGCTGCCTTTTTGGCTTGTTCGACGAGGGACATGTTGGGTGTGGTTGTGAGGGTGCGGCGAGGGCTGAGGTGGAGGGAGGTTGAGGTTGAGGTTAAGGTTGATGGCGGGGTGGTTTTGGGTGTGAGTGGTGAGCGGGATGGGGTGAGGGGATGAGTTTTGGTGGTGAGGTGTGAGAAGGGGCGTGAGGTGGTAGATGAAAGTGAGGAGGAGGAAGACAAGAAGCGGAGGGACAGAGACGAGACTGTTGATCTTAGAGCTCTACTACTTGTACTGATGCTAGTCAGGGACATGGAAGGCGAGGGCGAGGCGGGAGTCGGGATGAGGTGGTGGTGTTATAGTGGGATGAGCCATAAAGTTGCGTCTCTTGCGGCTGTCCGGGCTTACTCAGGAACCTGAATCGTAACGCGGGACGGGGAGTGGATTCGGGCTCCCGGCTGGTGGCGGCTGGTCACGGATGGGGGGTGTTCTGAAGTCTTTCTCAAAGATAGACTCGGAGAGATATTGGCGACTGGCATGGAATCATTGTGCTTGGTCGGTCATGCTCTAAACCATTGGAAGTTACTTGAATCTCTGGCATCTAATTGATGCCTTTTGCAATCACCAAGCCAAGAGCCGCGATCCGGAATGGCTGATCGCTCGGTGAGTCTCGGTGAGAGCCCCTCCTTCACCGAACGCGGGGCACAACTCATCAGATGTCAATGCACCTCAAGAATTCAGGGACCACTTCTTTTTTTCAGCATCTCCACATAATGACGTACCTAACGGTGATTTCCAGGGACGTCAACTCTTCTCCACCACGCAGCACCGACTCAACGCCCGCCGTTTATCGTCTCAGAAGTCAGAACCGGATCCGCCAAATCAGACCGAGACGGCAAGACCTCGGAGGGGGTGCCAGTGAGTGCGCCGGGAGCCCCACCGGTCTGCATCCCGGTGGAGAACTGTCGGTGGAGAAAGAGGGAAAAGTCTGTACCTTCATAGGAGATCAGGAGAATCCTTCACAAGGAACTACCCTCGCGGTCCTCGCGGGTACTGAAGAGGTACCGTGCTGAACGACGTCATTTTGCTCAAAAATGGAGACTGGGTGTTGCTCTGAGGGGATATGAATGGATCCGAATGTACCCTCTGCTGTTTAGGAAGACGAATTCAGGGGATCAGACGCGATTGATTAGCGAGCTTGGATTTGATCGAGATAGTCGGTATCGATAAGATCACAAGTCAACGACAACCAGTGCAGATTGCACCATAAGGTAAGATGGTTTCAGCATAAAGTAGATATCTCGCTTATGGGCTCTCCCGAAGTATCTGTCAGCGTCTCTTCGTTGAAGAGTTAACATGCAAATTTTCTAGAGTAAGGTTGAATGGTCATCTCAATTCGGCTGAATCCTCGGTTTTGCTCCGACGGCAAGCAATACCAACATGTGTGAAGATAGTGCGATGAACGACCCTGAGAAGCACCCATTACCATATTGGAAACCACGCGAAGACGATCAAGAGTCTCAGCAATTGGCTTCGTAAGGCGATCCTAATAGAACATCATCAACAGCTGGCTTTGACCAAGCGTAACGCGGTAGGAATTGTACTGAAGTATCACCTTGCGGCCAAGCTTTTCAGGGCAGCGGTCTTGGTTCTCATCTTCTATACTAGTGGGCAAGTCTGCTAATGGTGTTGACGATTCTTTGCTGCTAAGGATCAAAGGCCTATCCCGCTCTATCTGTGGTGTTGCTCAAACCTCAGTAATAGTGAGTGCCCGAAGGAGGGAGGGGTATTCACGTTATTGAGGTACACTACCGCATTGCTCCGCGACCCAAAAGTCTAGTGAGGCCCATAGGCCTTGAACTAATTGTCTTTCTCGCGCTTCCGATACTCCTCGACCGAGGTCCCCGCGTCAAAGCAGAGAGGATAGTACTCATCCACAACCTCAATCAGCCCATTATCATCGTTTATAGTCAGGTCCAATCTTCCTCGATAGCGGAACGTTTTCCCGCTGGCCTTGAACTGGCTCGTCAGGTCGTTCACGTACGTTCCGGTACCGACAAAGGCAAAAGTCACATGAACTTTCTCATCCTTCTTCAGCTCCGGCCAGACAAGCTCAACGTGCATTTCAAAGTCGGGGTTCGCATGTTTCCACATCCCGACGTGATCCGCTATGCCGGCGTGCCCTTTGCGCTGGACACGGAAGGCGTGATCGTTGTAGATGACTGATTTCGAGTGAAGGTCGATCCACTGCTGGGGAGGTCCAGTGGCATCGGATAGTGGGAAGACGCCGGCCCAGACGGCGGCGAGGTGGTCGGGAATTGAGAGATTTTCTGGTGATCAATTCTTGTCAGCGTCTTTATAGGCGACAAGATAGACCGGGAAGACAACATGGGGGGGAAGAGTGCGCCTCGCTCCAGACTAAAGCTGACTTACTCATCATGGCCAAAGTCTGCACAAGAGGGCAGAGTGACGTTGCCTGGATGAGGGGATGGTCATTGACAGGGAGGCAGGTAACTATATAACTTTGCGTACGGTTCTATAGTTGAGGGCAAACACTGTATTGGTGAAAACGAGAGTTTTTGCCGTTGCAAGTTGCCGGTCGTGGAAGCTGGTCATGGGACTGTTAAGAACAATGAAGTCCAAGTATACCTCGGCGGCGATCAACCTGCAGGATAGGTGCTTCTATGGAAGAAACATCCAATGCTCGCCATTCTACAATAAGCTTGTGCCTCGGCTGGTATCCACAACGGATGTGCCGCGCTTCACGGACCCCGGTGGACCGTGGGCCGGAGCCGTTCCGAAAAGCTAGGGAACAAGCTCTGGCCTGCAGGATATGGGTACCCAAATCCAGATGACATGTCTCCTACCTAGATATCAGCCACATCTTTGGATATGATGATGACCCGGTTCATGCAGATGCAGTCAAGGGATCGAAACCTTGTTCTGGGAGTAGAAACACAGTGTACCCGCCTGCGGTAACACAGTCATGGTGTGGCCATCCAGCATACTTCACACAGGACAGTTGAGATGGTCGGTAGTGTGATATCAATTCACTTGAGATTGATGAATAGTAATGTGACCTTTGGCCACGATTTCGCCCTGAGTCCTTGATCTAATAAGCGGTGATCTCTCAAGGCTTCGCGGAGATTTGAGCTACTGGGATGTCGCCAGGTATGGTTTTACCTCTGGAATCGGCTTCAGCTTCAGGGACCTATCGGTAAAGGAGGCTTCTCCATCTTGGATGGAAAATAGCTTGCATACTGATATGTGTCCCCTCTGGGCTCAATCAGATGACCTTTAAATGGTTATGTCCGCCATCATGGGACACAGCATAAATGAGAGCAAATACTACAAGACCGGTTGTATAATGAACGTTACGTGACTTGACATGCATAGTCAAGAAACATGATGGAGGAATATTGAGACAAATTGAATTTTTAAGTGGTCTGACAAGCCCGGCACTGACTAGAAGGTAGATGAGCTCAGCCAAAGTTCAATGTCATAATGCGATTCCCGTGCAGCCGGATTACCCGCTCCCTAAATGCCACAAGATTGAGGTGAGCAGAACTAGCTAAGCATCTTCGCAAGTAATGAACAGGGACTTTATCGCCAGGGTCCATTGAGTTCCGTGCAAGCATATTTGAGGCTCGCATATCGCCATTGCTAAACACAGAGCATATGCTGGGCATGTTTCGTGTTGAGAAATATATAGTGTGTTGTGAGTCGGGCCTGATGTTCTAGAATAATTTCAATTAAAACCTGTCATAGCTGTTGGCAAGGCACTTACTGACCGAATAGCGTCTAGGTATAACGCCCATAGCCGGAAGACTGTGGCAATAAACATTGTGCCTTGATTCTACTTGCCATGTTACCCCCAGGCTTCCAGACAGGAACTTCCTCATCTTCTATCGACCCTCGGAGTCTTAACATGGTCCAGAAGCCTCGTCAAATCATCCGAAAAAGGCTACTCGGGGGCCATCTTACTTAGGCACCTCCAACCTCGTTGCTATCACCAGTGCAGGTAACTGGAGCCGCCTATCTAAAAAGGCGGGTCAGATCGAATTGTGTGTGTGAGATAGTCGAGTGGTGAAATAAATAAATTACTGCAATGAAGTAAGAGTCCGGGTTGACTGAGGGGCTCGATATTTGATTTTGGATGGGGGCGTGTTTTGTAAGGCGTGTATTCTCCTCCTTTCCTTTCCCTCTATTTTCTTCTTTTTTTCCTTTTTCTTTTTGTATAACTACCTTAATCTTCATTCTGCAAGAACATTGAGCCAGTCGGCCAAATGTTTCAATATCCGTTATTGAAGTACGTGCACGACTCATTATCTATAGATCTTCTAGCATATAGCTAGCCCTCATCTGAAGGGCAAGTACTTGACTATCACCGGCCAAGGTAGGTAGGACCACGTGACCATCTTCGGGATTGTTTCAGTCTCCAGTCAATTCCCTTCTCAAGACTAACAAAACTACAAGTCGAGCCTGTATCAAGTTGCAACGCCTGACTGCCTCTATACGGCCTATTTCGTCCCAAAAGACGTATTTTATATCAGCCATATAGGCGGCGATGCTCAGCTCCGCAGTTCTCACGGATCGAGTTCATCATTGTCGTTTTAGCAAAAGAAAAATTTAGAAGAGACTAGTGAAGGTCACAAAGCTCAATGAGGCGGTGCTTGTGTCACGCCCTCGTTTCAAATGTTGCGGGTTCCTAATCTGCGGGTGCGTGAACCACAGATCGAACCGTTGTTCCTAGTTGCATTGCTGACATAAACCCCCAAGGTAGAGGCATAATAAGATAATCTTCCTATTCCTCAGAAAATGATTGGCTCGGATCTAATACGGCCGAGTCGGTTCCTTCGGCGAGCCTTTGGCTAGCCCAAGAGCGATGGCCATTGGCCATGAGATTGCTGGGGTGGGAGCCGGCATATGAAGTTTGCGTGGAACCTGGCTGGCGTTCGTTTGGCAAGTTAAACATTGGTGTCACCCTTGACGGGGATCTGTATGCTTGTGGCTGTCAAACAACTTTGACTTCTACCTAGAGATTATTAATCTTACCTATTGGAAACACGAGGCCAATGAAGTCCCGGACCTACAAGATGAACACGTTCAAGTACTCCTAATAGAATGCGGGACAAGTCTGAGTCTCTGTTAGACTACCAGAGTACAGCTGAGAAGAAAAAAAGCATACCAAAGGGCACTTTGGTCTAGCCGAAGCTCTCGCTTCCACGTGTCTACCGTCCTGTCTCTTCCGGCAACGTCTTTCCACATCCGTTGCCAATGTTTCGATTCCCATGTTCTTACTGACATAAAGGAGGCCTCTTAGCTGAGATGATGCATATGGAATCAGAGCTTAGATGGACTTCGTTCATCGAGACGAACTGCTCTGAATTTCATCTAAACGAACCTGCGAATTTCGGTCCATAACCCGAAAATGGCCGTCAACCCGTTGCATTCATGGCATACAATGGCAGGTTCTCTAGCGTCAACCATCAGTTACGCAGGGACCTTACCATTGAATGACACGTCGTATCGTGCTTGAAGTTATCTTGTCCCACCGGCTCCGGTCACTTACGCAAGACTAGTATCCCTTGAACAGTGAAAAGGGGCGTTGTGGATTTACACTCGAAAATGACTTAAACTTTGCCGTTCCCCCGGGTACACTCACAATTGAAGGCTGCGCAACTAGCGCCTACCGATTGACTATGTAACTCAATCTGAAGATCTACGTTCAGATTGACTTCGTATTCTCAACGTCGTTGCATGGCGAGTCAAGGTGAGATCTACTGGTGCACCGAGCCATGGAACACTGACTCAAACTGACATTGACTTTTACCACTGCTGACTCTATCCAGGTTCGATTCAGAAATTTTCTTCAAAAGTTTCTTAGCCCTACAAGACAAGTGGCTACGTCTTGAGCTGCATCGACCACGGGTCCCGTTGAGGTCGTCCTGCTTGGCACCTGTTTCCATCACCAGGGTGCAATACAAGTGCTGCAATGAGCAGTACCTTGGCAGAGACACAGATAAACAACGGCTTGGAGAAGACAAAGGTGAGACACGGCCGAATCAGCACCGAAGTTGGAAGAATCACATTGCAAAATGATGTTCGAAACCATGATCGTCGAACCCGTCCCTGAGAGAGCAGAATTACTGCCTCTAATGAATGCAGGCTCCAAAACATTGAGGTAAGCCCAACCAGGTTTTTCCAGAACAGAGGCCTCCACGATGGCCAATGATTCGCGGTCCAGCCACTCTCATGGAACCAGGTGGTCTGCATGTGGATGAGAGTCGGCGCGGATGGTGCAAACGCCGTAGCCGCCCTTGTCGTGATTGCATTGTTTATGGTCAGAATGGTCCGTTTCGAAGGGGGGCCTAGATCATCGACGAAAGTGACGTTGATGAGCCACGGCGATCATAACATGGAAGGGCGAAGATCCAGTCGGGTAGGCAGAGGAGGAGGTGCCGCCAGACGTCTCGACTGATGCAGTGGTGGTGGCTGAGGGCGATTCTCATGAGCGAATCGCATTTCACGAACAGTGACAGGACCCCACTATTATCCGTTTAAAGACATTGACGGTTGACGGCCTGTCGTCTAGCCTTACGAGGATTGACGTTCAAGTGTCAGAAGAGACCGGGGGGGTGAGAGGGGTTATGTTGGGTTACTGTGTTTATGACTTGGCGGTTTGGCAGGCAGTCTTGCGTTGTAATCGAGCTGTCATCTCGGAAACTGGAGAGCTTCAGAGGGTTATCCCAGAGACAAGCGAGTTGTCAAAATTTGCTGGATACCGATTGGCTACCCAGAAGCCATCTCGGAACTCTGCGCTTCCTGGACTTTAGAGTTCACGTTGACAGAATCGCAAGAGCCAATCGCAATCAACTTGAGAAGTCTGAGCGGAGGGGCTTCAGATATAACAGCGGCTGAACCCCCCAGCAAATAAACGCGGCATGACAGCATCCCCCAGCCAGGTGTCGACAAAATTAGGGATCAGATATCGATTAATGCTTTCTACTAAGTTCAGTCAGCGCTGATGAAAGACGGTGGCATCCCGTCCCGGGGGAACGAACACAACTCTTCACATATAGGTTCGCACTACCTATATGTGTGCCCCTGGTCAACGCGGCTGTGCTCTTCGTGATCTCCAGGCGATCTGACGCTGTAACATGTCTTCCACAACGGCTGACTAGCGAATCGCATTCTCGCGGAAGCACACCTCCCCTTCCAACCCCCGCTCATTTCCCCAACTGTTCGTGCCACGAGATCCTTGGCAAGAACACTCAGGAACGCTGTCTAACGCCGATGTCAAATGGCTGACAATTGAAACAGTCGGTTGGTTGTCCCTAAATTGGGGATAGATCTGCTGAGGTTGTCAAAGTCTAACGCAAATGCCGACTAGGGGCCTTGCAAGTTGCACGCTTCTCACTTTCCCATCTCATGATTCCACCGCTGTAAGGCCGCTAACGTCCCTCGTCCGTCTTGGACGGAAGACTGCGCAAACAGCACCCGGCGTTTGGGGCCGCCGACGTTGCATCCCGAATCGAGCTATACTACAGTGTTTATATGACTTGCATAAGGTGTGCATTGGTGATTTGAGAATCTGGAGAATCTGTGATCGTGAGATACATAAACGTCGTCGTCGATCCAGTTCTCGCCAAGCTCATTTCTTCTGTGTCTCAAGCTCACATCAAGATACTTTGCGATAATATCAACCACTCGCAACTACATCTTTTCTACTCCAACAACCTACTCATTGTCTGCAGGTATCAGGCACCATGGATTCCTATCTCGAGGAGACATCTTACACCTTCTTCCCCAGTGTCGAGGGCAGCAGCCCAGTGTACACATTCGACTCTCAATTCATTCCTTTCCCTGCATCAGAGGGCACAGAGAACTTCTTTTATCCATACTCATTCCCGCCATACCAAACATCTATGCCTCTCATGAACAACGCTTCTCCACTCTCCTTGGACACCGACTACGCAACCATCAACACCCCATTCACCGCATCCTCTCCCCGCTCAGACTTCTCGCCCATTCCCAGTGAGCCTTTGGATTTCGCATCACCACCCAGCACCAGCAGCGGACCTGTCTCGCCGCGATCGCCCCCACAGGAGGTGCAGCCCGAGAGCTGGGGCCCGGCAGATCTTCACCAAATGGGTTATCTCGACGTCGCCGGCAACTGGCGCTGCCGCTACTCAGGCTGCTGCTCCTCCCGAGTGTTTCTACGCGCGTGCGATCTTAGGAAGCACTTCCGGGGCCATGCAAAGTACTTTTTCTGCACCGAAAAGAGATGCCAGCAAGCGGGCGTTGGTTTTGCGACCCGCAAGGACTTTCAACGGCACATGGGCTCCCACAAGCCTGCTGTGAGGTGCATGCACCCGGACTGTGATCGCATCTTCAGCCGGAAGGACAATATGGTTCGTTCAGCCCACTCTTATTGTAACCCCATTGGAACACAAGCTAATTTGCAACAACAGAGAGAGCACTACAAGAAGATTCATCAGAGGTTGAGGAACAACCTCTTCCCAAGGAGGTGCCGTCAAACCAAGAAGAGAGAACCTCAGGCTGCCTCACCAGAGTCCAGCTGCTCTACTTGCTGCATGGACTGTTAAATTGCTTTGATTTTGGGCAAGATTATTTAAAGGCATTGGCAAAACGGCTGAACGGCCTCTACCATTCGTTATACGATTCATGAATCATGGGTTAAGCGTTGTGTTTTCATGGAGTCTTCGGGGAACAGCATAGGAGCTACTGGATTCATCCTAGGATGGGAGCCCTATAATAGATAGATTACTAGTATTTGATGCCTAATGCAGCCATTCATTACCTTCCGGTTGGAATGCCGAATCTTTGGTACAGGAACTGCAATCATTCCATGACAAGGTCTCGAGAAAAGACTACTAGCTAAAGTATCGATCCTGGAACTCTATCGGAAGTCGAATCCCGAAGGCTCCCTGTCAATTTTCCGTACATGACGAGGTAAAAATGTCGATTCTAACTTAGCAACAAACTCCGCCAGCGAACTCCACCAACGGACATGCAGGTATCATCACCTTGCTGTAGATTCAGCTGTCTTTGTCGATGCCTAGGAAATTCTGTATGCCGTCATAGTTAGGCGCATCCCTCGGCTCCCACGTCGTCGATGCTAAACCTAATGAAGCATGTTGGTGAACCATGCACGCAAAGAAAGCTCACCCGCATTCAGACTCGCTCTGAACACCATTGACCACTGTTTCGAAAATATTAGTATCAAGTTGGATTGCTTATCTGTCTACCAGCAGTGCACGTCGTTGAGTTGTATGAGGCTTGTCGAAGAGCCCTAGGATAGAGGAATTTCAAGTTCTCGTTCCTGACAGTTTTAGATATAATTACAATCTCAAGTGTATGCCCGTACAAACTAGGTAGTCATTAAATATTATGGCATGCTCCTCAACTGCATTCTCGGAGTCCGCGAGGCCCGTGATACCGAAAGAGATTCGGAAGTAATGGAATATTGATGAGGTGCCATACGGCAAGTTTGTAAGCGTATCGGACGAAACTTACGACAGAACTGATATTTGGTATCATTCTACCTTTCAGATAAGACAATAGTCTCTCGAATCCCGTTCTCTAGTCAAGTGTGCTCTTAGGCCTGACCAATCCTGAACCTTATTTGAAGCCGATACATTGTCTCAATCAAAGCAAGTTAAACCGCCGAATTCACGTCCCATCGAAATGTCTAAGACGGATATTACGCTCATTGGAGTCGGCAACATCGGTGCCGCAATGGTGAAAGTCTGGCTGAAAGCTGGACTAGCCGTCACCTTGTGGAACCGAAATCCTCAACGGCCATCTCTTAAAGAGCTCGTCGAGCAAGGCGCTGTTCTCGAGACAGACATCAGATCAGCTATTCGAAACAGCAACGAAGTTGTCTTGTGTGTCTCAATCTACGACAACATCATGGACGTCCTCGGACGTGCCCTTCCCTTGGGTGGAGGGGAACGCTCTGTCTCGGTCATCAATATTATAACGGGAACTCCCAAGGAGGCGCGCGATATGGCATCATTCCTTAAGAAGAACGGCATCACTGCGTATTTTGACGGTGCCATCATGGTGACGCCGGCGTTGGTAGGCACCGAACACGCTTCAATGTTTTTCAGCGGCGAGAATGACGCCAAATTCAGCGAAGTATCCCCGCGTTATCTGGAGCCACTGGGGAAAGTCCACTACATCTCTGAGGATTCTGGAGCAGCAAGCTTGTGGGATCTCGCAGCCCTAGCTGCCTTGTATGGAACCTTCACCGGAGGTATCGTTGCTCTCAACCTACTCAAACGCCAAAAGCCGGAAAAGGGCAATGAGAACCCCCCCGACAACCAAGAAACCGATGGACAAGATCATATTGCCGCTGCTTTCGACTTTCTTATCTCATCTGTCTGATGTTGCCCAATCTCTGGATGAGGAAACTTGGGAAGAAAACTTTGGGAACCCAGCTTCGATGCAGATCAAGGGGCTCGAGACGATTCTAAGAGGCTTTCGCGAAGAGAAGGTCAGCAGCGAAGGACTCGAATTGTTCCATTGCATGCTGAAGAGGTGCATGGAGGAGGTTGGCAACAATGCTGGCTTGGCCAAGATGGGAACATACCTACAACAGTAACGGCATTAACTTGCGCCTCGCCTGGTTGGCCAATGTTACAAATAGAGATTTTTTTCGAATACTAAAATTACACGGGAAAGTAGATTCTCAGCAAATATATTACTAATGATACAAAAAGAAGTGAAAATTATGTTATTGTTCCCCCCTTTGTAATTCAAGCCTCCGGGCATTCAGTTCAGCCGCGATGTATCCATGGTGGTTTCAAGCACCCTTTCGCTCTGATATCAGTCTGAAAGCATTCAAACATGTATGCACTCAAGTTTGATCGAAATCAGATGTCGATGCTGGTTCCCACAACCTCTGGGAAAGCAGGATCACCCGCGCTAGTGAAGACCGACTTGACCCGCTTGTGTAACACCAAATCAGCAAAAGCCCCAACAATTCCAGCAACGACCTTTCCAATCCTGCCAAACTCCAGGCTCCCAAGCTCGCTCTCCAACAAAGAGCGCGCTGCCTCGGGCAATGTAAGGTTCAGTGAAGAAATGAGGTTGGGGAAATCCGTGAACGCCCCGTGCGTAGTGTTATTGACGGTCAGCAGAGCTTTCGCGCCTCGCAGAGCGGCGAAGAAGACGGCCCAGGTCGGATCATCGGCCGAGTGCCCCGGTCGGCCAACGAGAGTGAATGGTCGATCGAGACCTGCGTTGAGTACGGGATCGAGGAGCTTGCCGTCCAAATTGATACCGCCTAGGATGCGCGAATCTTGCAACATTGCAGCCGCCGCCGTGGCACCTCCCAAAGAATGGCCAAACATAATCGTGTGTTTGAGGTTGACGCTATTGATAGGATTCTTTTGAAGATGTGAGAGTACAAAAGAGACATCGTCAGCTCGAACCTGGAATTCTGTCAGCTACACGTCGGCCAGGGACTACTTAGGGGTGGAACTTACCTGGGTGAGAGATTCCAACTGTGTAGTATTGTCGGTATCAAGATTGACTGCCTGATAAACGGTTCCATCAGGAAACTCAACAAAAGAAGGATCATACGGGTGGTCGATCGTAACGACAGCGAAGCCATGGCTAGCCACCTCGCGAGCCATAGCGCCGTAGAGGAGGCGTGGGTTGCCCCAGCCAGGGGAGAACAGCACCAGCGGAAAGTTCGAGCGAGGACGCCTGCATGAACGAGTTTTAGGCTGGCAGAACTCCATCTCGAATGAAGAGAAGGTGCCGTTGGGTAGGCCGACAGCGACGCCCAGCTGGTCGTAGGCCGCGGCCACGAGGGGCGTCATGTATGGCACTCTTTCCATACCCTCACAGGAGTTTTTGGTCTTCTCAACGGGCATAAAAGTCGAAGTCATAACTCGTCGTAAGTGCGTGTTGTTGACTGGAGCATAAGGGTCGAGCCTGCTCTCATCGGTCAGGGCTTCCACTGACATGGAAACCGCGTAAGGCCCAGTTGGCCCGTTGACGAGAATCGCCTGAGTCGCTGAGGCGAGAGCGCCTATGATCAACGCTGGGATCATGATGTCAGAAGTTGAAGGTTGGAAAGTGGTAGAAAATGCTTTGATGAGGTGCTCGGTGTGTGAGATGTAATACAATCAAGAGAGATAGTGCTTGTCTGAGTTGAGAATGATGAAACAGAACGAGAAAGACGGTGTATCTTATACTCATCCATTGTCACTTCGTCGTGCCCATGATCACAGCTCAAAGACCCTCTCGCGTGGTTGCTTCCCATTTGAGATAAGTGTAATTAGGCTGGGCAAGGTGGAAAGATGGAAAAAGAGAGTAGCTGCGCCTCTCATACCTTGAGTCGGAACTTTGAAGACAACTCGAGGCTTTGGCCCTCATCTCTCCAGGCACCACCTCAGCTTAGACGTTGGCTTTTGTTCAATTGGCCACACTACCCTGTTTTACTGGGGATTTTTACTTAGCGTCGCTCAATTGCTTCCGCTTTGGGTTTGGTGAGTTCGGGGTCCTGATCCACCCCCCGACGATCTCAACATCTTACACAACTTGCGCGAACCTTTCGTACACACACTCTCCCTATGATGACTACTCTCGCAAATTTTGCGGCGAGCAACAAAGACTTTGAGCCATACGGAAATCATAGGTCTCTCATGATATTCTGGCAAAACAACAATGCATCTTGGGCCATTCGACCGTCGGACTAGACGTTCTCGCTGCGCGCCGTGCGCTGCCAGCCATTCGAAGGTACGGCAATCCACCCCTGTCTTTGCTATTGCAATTGCCGCGAGCAATTGGGCTTCTTCGAATTACGGTCTCCTAATCCTCGCCTATCGAAGTGTTCCGGTTCAATTCCATGCCCCCAATGCCAGAAACGCCGCATTGAATGTGTATTTCCGGCAGCGTCGGCTCCGAGCAACGGAGCTGCAATCCGGCTGGCCAAGGGGAAGCTCTTCACGGCCAAGTCTTTCGCAACGCCTGTCATACAACGACCTGCCCCGCCGCTCTCAGACAACACCATTACTTACCTCTTTTACTTCGATATCTTTATACGCAAGAATAGCTTCACCGGTCGAGGGCTTGAATTCCTCACAGACGTTCAACAATTAGTCAAGACTTGCGGCCGAGCAGGGAGAGCCCCACACAACCATCTGTTGGACGCAATGTTAGCTCTGGGTGCTATGCAAGCAAATATCCTTGGCGCATTAGGCTGCCACAATAGCCTACGTTTCGCGCTTGAACATTACTTGCAGTCCATAACCTCTCTCCGAGGAGCTGTCCTGGACTCCACGTTGACACGGAAAGATAGCATTCTCTGGTCAACCTTTTTCCTAGGGCTATTTGAGGTTCGTAAAGCTCAACAAACCTTTCCGGAGGCTCTTATTTACTTAGCCTCGAGCTTTTCATTTTTTATTTTTCAAATGGCAAGATAACGAGCTGACATTGGCAAAAGTTGCTTCAAGACGCCTCTGGCCAGAAATGGCTACAGCACATGGTCTTCGGCACATCTCAGGCCCTCATCGCCCGCGGCCCGTCAGCATGTACCTCGGGAACAATGCGAAACTTCTTCATACAGGCACGAACTTTTGAAGTCTGTAGAAGCATAATATTCAACCAGTCTAGCTTCCTGGCAGCACCAGAGTGGATGAAGGTGACACGCAATTTATCGGAAGAGGCAAACATTCAAAGTCGGGCTTCTGTAGATGATATCCTGAACATGATTGTGTCATGCTCTAGGCTCAGAGCACGGTAAGTTCGAGCGCTTTTTGTTTCTTCGTGTGATTTGCGTCAAAGAGATAATGCTGATCTACGACTCCAGTACGGGCCAGTTCATCAGAGCTCACACCAGCTTCTCCGGAGTTGAGGTCCCATCCATTGATGCTCTAGAATTAGCTACTGAGGGCTTCTATCTTCGCGATGCACTTGAGAATTGGAAGCTTGATGCATCATTTTCATCTGCCCAACACAACGAGATGCTTCTCGCCATGAGCTACTACTCGGCAACAAGCATATATCTCTCTGGAAACTATGACTACGACCTACATCACTGGCAAGCAATGACCGTTGCGGTACCAGTGCTAAGCCGAGATGAGATAATGAAGCATGTGGAAGACATCTTGCAGACAACCAGGGAAGCGCTTCGATCCTCTACTCTATCGCCGCTTCTGCACCTTTTCCCACTAAGAGTAGCAGGGGCAAGGTCCCGAGAATATTCCCAGCGTCAGGCCGTGACTGAGTGTCTCCTCGAAGTCAAAAAGCAATTTGCTGTTGCCGATGCCATGTTGGTCGAACTCGATGAGCTGTGGTCTTTAAGTCCCACTACGCCTATTAGTCCGATACCCTTAGGCAGTTGAATGATATAAATTCCCATCTTGGTACGCCGTGTCGAGATTGTAAAGTTTGATTTGTGATCTACTCGGGTTTCTTGTAGTTCGGTGAGACTTCTGACAACTGCCTTTGGTGCTCCCCCTTCTCGATCATGTCTTTGATGACTTCGTCGGCAACCTTCATAGCCTGGACACCCGCTGGTGCACCACAATAAACCGTTGCGTGAAGAATCGCCTCGCGGATTTCAAGCTCTGTCAGCCCGTTTCTAATCGCCCCTCGGATATGGATTCCAAATTCAGCCCAGCTCTTCAGAGCAATGAGCATGCCGATGTCTGGTGTAGGTGTTAGCTCGAGGGCACACTACCTATATGCATGTCATGCACAATTGCGGCACGGCTCAATTCGAATTGACTTACTCAGCAAGCTTCGCTGCTTGCGTTCCAGGCCAGGACGCGACCATACGTTTCCCCAAGCCCACCTATTTCGATGGATCTTAGGTTGAACTACAATCAATTGGTGTATATTGGGATTCTCACTCCGTAATCAGCTCTTGTTGAGCAAAAGCAAACTCGCTAGAGCCATTGCGCATCGCGGTCTCGACATAGCCCTCTCCAACGACTTCGCGTCGGTTCTTTAGACCAGTCTCAAATAGTTCGGCGCGCAGATTTTTGCTATTTTCGGATGACATCTTTGCTCTAGGGGTTGCAGGAGAACGTCGGAAATAGGTGAAGGTTTAAAGATCAAGAGTGCAGAAAAGCATGGGATAGAATAATACTAATATCTCTCCCCGTTTCACAAGGAATAATTCAGCATCCGTGTTCGGTAGAGCTATGGAACAAATTGAGGGGTCATATCCGAGCTTAAGTTGGTGGAAATGGCCGATGGCGCTGAATCGATCCGCAACCGGGGGATGAACCCACACCCCGCACTACCCCGATATCCCGCACAAAGTGAGAGGTCTATCCCGCGTTATCCCGTCTGCCGCATTGCCCAGCTGCGCAAGTCTCAGATTTGCATCTCTAGCATCGTCACTGTATCGATAAATCTTCTTCTATCGTCGGTAAATCTAACATCTTACCAAACCAGCCTAAATAAACTCCAGTAGGTCCTTCTTTGGCCTCTGAGCCAGCTTCCACTTTCCCTTATGACCCTGCTCGTCTTGTTCATGACTTTGCTCGTGAAGACCCAGACTCTGCGCTCCTTTGTGTTTCCGCTGATTCTCATCATCATCATCATCATCCGGGTTCCCGGGCTCGGGATACTTCCTCAAGTGCTCGACCGCCCAAATCAGCTCTTCAGAAAGTACAGGCGGCGTCCGCCCCTTGCCCCTGAGCGTCGGAAGACCGGCGACACGGAACAACCAGTTGAGCCACTCAAACGTCTCGCCAGTTTCCCAGGCAATGTCGTGGAACTTTCTTCCTTCCTTCTTGACAAGCTCTTCCCTCTCCCTCTCCCATCGCTCTTGTTCCTCAACGGGCGGCAATGCAACAGACTCTCTTCCAGAAAACACTCTTGCCAATGCGATGGCCTGATACTCAAAACTCCTGAACGTAAGAACTCTTGGTATACCAACAATCCCCAACGTCTGGAAGTCCTGGAAGAAGGTGTGCCAGAATGTCTTGATCAGCTTTCCACTTTTGTAATTGTATAGGGCCCTTCCGCCATTCGCTTCCGAGTTCCAAAAGGGGTACGAGGGTTTATAGCCAGTACAGTAGATGATGTGATCAACGTCGTCAAGATATGAGTCGTCTTCGAAGATTACACGCCCGTCGAGGCGGAATTCTTTAATAATAGGCTTCCAGGCGATGCCTGGAGGCGGTTCGTCGCCATCCCAGCGTGACTTGGACCTCCGGGATTGATAAACCGGAGTACGGACTGTCTGCACCAGTTCCTCTGTCACGTCATGGCCAGATGCAGAGTTTCCAATGGTGATGATTTTCTTTCCCGTGTAAGGTTGTGGGATGCGATAGGTTTTGGAATGTACGACGCGGCCTGGGAATTTCTTGATGTACTCGTCTAAACCCTTAACGTGAGGAACCTAAAGGCAAATCAGCTACTCGAATTCGGGATTCATAAATAGTTATACTCACATAGGGTACCGAGTAGTGGCCATTAGCGAAAACAACGGCATCAAACACCTCTTGCCACCACACATCGACGTTACGCGCAGCGTCGAACTTGCGCAGAGTCAATCTCCACTGCTCAGGCCTGTCTTTGGCCGGAATTCTTGTCACATCCTCAACTGTGGTATTAAGCACCAGGATTGAATCGGTTTTGTGCAGGGAAAAGTAGTTTTCAATGTATTGTCGTGGAATCCAATGCGGCGCAAAGGGGCCATAAGCGAACCTGGAATCCGAAAATGACATTGCAATGTCAGGAACATTGGTACTTTACAATATCATTAGCATCGCTCTTTCGCATGACATGTGGAGTTTCAGCGATCCTTACGTCAAAGAGTGATAGATCGGAGTCTGTGAGTAGCGTTCTCGTTGACTATGGGGCTTGACCTGGGGAAGCTCGCCCGGGATCTCCACTGCGGGATCGACATCGGGCGGGAGGCTCCCAGGCTGAAGCGGAGGTAGCTCTGATGGGCTTGGATCGTAGATCCTAGAAGATACAGTTAGCCTAATGTTGAAGATAAGAATCAAAGGGGAACTAATACCATGTTCCGCCCGCGGACTCTCTTCTTTCGAATACCTGGATTCTTTCAAAGTAGTCTTCCGCTTTGAAAGCTGCAGCGGTAACAGCACCTAGTCCATATCGGAGATAAATTAGCCACTATCATCGATTAAGCATTCGCAGCAGATGATCTCTCGGTGGCTTGCATCTTTGCATCCGGAAAGCTGCCATGTGCGGCTCAAGAGGTACTTACCTGCAGCGCCTGCCCCAATAATGGCTACAGACTTGATCTTACGTTCGCCTCCCATTATGACAGTGCGTCTAAAAGCTCAGACCAACAAACTGCGAAGAATGGCTAGATCCGCTTGTCAGTCAAAGCAGTCTCACAAGCAGATTTACGGTGTACAAAAGTATTTAAAGCACAAAAGTCCAGAAGGAAATGAACTTCGCAATCGAGTCAAGTCAGATTCATTTGTCATCTATCACACGTTAAGAGGGGTTTTGGTAGGAAACTGGGTTGATCGGATGTATTCGCCATCTGTCGCCATCCTCAGAAGCGATTTCACCATCGCTGCGTCACGTGAAGAATCGGATGTCATGTTCGGCATTGCGAAGAATCAAGATAACAACAAATATAAGAGGTCCCAACCTTGTTTTTCAAAAGTCAAACTGGCTACATCTAGAGTGATATCTCAGCTGATTTATTCAGAGAGGTCTTGAAAGCTTCTGTCTGAGCCAAAAGCGAGACGACCGAAGCGTAGTGTCTCCCGGCTAGGCCGGCCCGGATGCTGCTGGAGCACTCCGTCTCGCCGATTAAAACTGGAACCCCCGGACTAGCTATCGGCTTATAGGCTTGGTGAAGGCCAACCAATGCTTTCGACAGACCGGTCTTGGGATAATCATTTTCAAAGGACCTTCACGCATAACATTGCTCATGAGACGAAAATCATGGTCTTTCGTTTCGAAGCTGCTCTGGGGCTGTTTCTTTTACCCAACACTTCGAATTTAGCGGAGTGCCGGGTTGAAAGTCCAATTCGACCCGCGAGCCAGGTAGGCCGATGCGAGCATCTCGGATAACATCACATTCGAGTCGGTCGCCAGCTCAATCATACAACCTCCTCTTTGTCTTCCGCAGAATCAACCGAACATTTTGATTTTCGTCACCACCAGATTTGTATGATTTCACACAATGGCTATGGTATAGACACCACCGGGATGTCGAGCTCCGATGCTAATGTCCGTTGTACTAGATAGCGAGTCGTACATCTAAAACCGCCTGTCATTAAGGCATATTTCTTGATGCTCGAATCATCTTCGCATATGAACCCGTCTAGCCAAGGTAGGTGGCCTCTGTGCAACACAAGCAATGAAAAAGCCATTGCAGCTCCTAATTGTACTCAAGGACCCCACACACACGATGGCACTCTGCAGCAATGCCACGAAGTTGGTCGCGTTTTGGCTGGAAACCCGCACTGAAGCCTCCTCTGGGTACAAGATTCTGCCTCGTTGGACCTGATCTGGAAGCTCCCGATGCATGAGCAAGGATGCTCAGACAGACCTCACTGGCTCAGGGAGGCGCAGCTTCCGCAACCAACAAGGGCGCTTACAGCTTAACGTCGTAAAAAGAAAATTGCTTCCCGGAACCTTTCCCAAAATTGTGCTGAACCTAATAATATTTAGTATTTATACCACTGAGAGGTCTAAGATTCATTGATACGGGCTTCCACAACACCTGCTCATCGATTACTTCCCTAGTTGCCTTCACTGGATTAGTTCAGATTTCTCTTCACAAGATTTCACCCATCAACCAGTTTAAATACTCCTACGATGCAGAATTCTCCGGAACTTAAGGTCACAAAGCGCAGGGCTAGGCCCGTGAAGGCAGCGCAGCCGAGCACAGCTTCTTCCCCTTTGGCGCCGGCCATAACGGAGATGACGCCCGATCAGCTACCACGCCGAGCGTCAGTCAATGTTCCTTCTTGGGATCAAATCGCCAGTCCTGGTTGGACTCCAACTTTTGGGAGGCCTGATGAATCTGAGTTGGACACCCCGTCAAAGAAAAGCGTCCCCAGAAACAGGTCGACATCTGCAATGTCGTTGAAATCAGCAAAACCTCCCCACATCGAGAGACCTGACAATCTCGGGCCAAATTCTGACGACCTTGGCGAAGTAACCCGGGCTAAGCCAGCTTTTCACACTTCCCACACTTCCCCCAGCCTAACCTCTGAAATTCAAAGACGAAATCAACGGCCTGTCGTACGGGATCGAAGTGCAAGCGAGCCACCTTCAACGCAAGCGAAGAAGCTCAGCGGACCCCAAATTGACCGCAAACTTGAATACATGATCAAGGCCGGCCCTAAGGCAAAGTCTGCGGGTTTCCTCTATGTCCAGGTCACCAAGCCACGAGAAATCAGCCAACGCCTGCTTAAAATCGGCGTCACCAAATTTCTCCCAGAAAAGCGTGGCAAAGACATTCAATACCAGTGCAAACATCCAGAGTTCTTTGAACATGAAAATGCACCGGCAGCGAAATTTTCCTGGAACAGCTTTGCCGAAAAGCTGGTCCACGCCGAGTTGATCAATTTTTGTCGATCATGGGCTTGCGGCTGCGGAAAGAAGCACAGGGAATATTTCGAAGTGAGCGATGAAATCGCTCTAGAGGTTTGGAGCAGATGGACAAAATTTTGTGAACAGGAGCCGTGGGATTCCCAAGGCAGGCTGTTGCCGATGTGGGAACATAGGCTGCGGCATAGAGTTCGGTTCACCGACTCAAGACAAGATTTCGATCATGGCGAGCTTGCTAGGCACTGGCGAACGTGTGTCTTGCCAAGTTCGATAGAGCTTTTCGTAAACGACACTCGGGTTCTCTGGAATCATATCTATCCCAATCGTTGGCATTTTGCTGCTGTGGCAGAGGCACTCACGATGGTTTTCATCTGGCCAGCCTCTTTCTGGACTTCAATGTGGTGGAAGGTGGTTCTCATTCTGGCTATTTTGGAGCTGTTTTGTCTGGACGGCATGTACATGAAGGAATCTGTCTCCAAGCTTCTGAGTGGAAGCCTTCAACGCATCAAGCTTTGGTGGCTGTCGGGCTCGCCAAAGCATGGGCGAGACTTACGAGCCAAAGAGCCCTCGCTAGCCGTCTCTTATGAGCAACAAGCTCAAAATGAGCCTCCTGAAGATCCCGACACGGAGATGATGGAGGATGTTCTCAATGACGAGGATGACGACATTGTTGATGGAGAAGGGGATGAGTCTGACAGCAGCAGTGACGATGATCAAAATATGGGCGAAGATGCCCTTTCTGGCCAGAGTCCCTAGGCAACCATCACCAACTCAACATAGGCGAGTGGTATTAGGCAAGAACTTCTTTCCGGCTCACGGGAACAGTAGGGGAATTTCCATAGTGGTGGACTCTAACTGGGTCTCAATATCTTGCCGTTAGTTCAAAGAAAATCTCAACTACGTTTGGCCATCTTTACGTTGACTGATACTGCTCCTTGAATGAGATAATATTGAGTCCGAATTTTAGTGCCTCAGATCAACCTACTGCTGGAGTTCTGAGAATGTGAGGCAGAGCTGATTACGATGAAGACGCCTTTTGAAAGGGCCAAAATTTTGAGCCTCATGGCTAGGTATAGTTGAAATTTGTTCAACAATGTCATGATGCATCGCCAAGGCCGTATTATGGCAAGTATAAGACACTAGGCTTCCTTTTCATGTATTAAGAGGAAACTTGTCTGCCCTAAGTTCATGTTGATCATCGGGTGTTGGTTTACCCCCGCCAGCCGCTAAGCAAACGTCCCGCTTACTGTTTTGTACCTATCTACTTCTTTTTCCCCAAAAGGGTAAAAGCCCAGCAGAGCAATTACGTAGATCCTGCCAAGATTGCTGACAGTTCCCTAACAACACTCAATCTTCCCAATGAGGTTCGAAGCTGTCCCTTGTAGTCTGAGACAAGCAGGGCTGGATGCGCATTTGGGGCGGCATGTGAGCTCACTGCGCATGCAATTCGTTTGCCAAATTGAGACTTTGGACGTCCTCTGTGGGCTCAGTCGGGCTCAGCTTTTCGTCGCCAAGGCGCCAGTTCCGACATGATGGAATAAGATGTTGCTATGATTTGACGAATTAAGCTGATGAGTCGACGGGTCAGCCGCATAGCCTCGATCCTCGAAATTAGAACCTTGTTTCTTGCTTGTTTTCTCGAATTGATAGTCACTATCCAGGCAATCAATATCCTCTAGTCACTTCAAGCTGATCCCGTCACTATCCATAACATCCATCTCACACTTCGTCGCACATATAAGTCTGCAAGCCGGTGCCACAGATTTCGATCATATCTTCTGAATACTCACACATCACAGAACATCATTTCAAGTCTTAAATCAGTCATCATGAAATTACAAAGTACCCTGATCGGCCATCTGTTTCTGGGCTCAGCCAGTGCCCTGATGGTACCGACTGAAGCCCACCTCGCCCTACGGAGAGACAACCATAATTCTTCGGCGCCATCAAACCAGTCATCCATCCAATGGGCAGAGTGTGATTTGGATTTTGGGGAGGCTGGCAACGCTGTTTTTGACGCTATGGCGGAGAAATTTCAGTGCGCCAAACTCGAGGTTCCATTGGATTACACCAGCCTCAGCTCGGGCGAAACCATCCAGCTTCAATTGATTAAGGCCAGCGCAAACAAAGAACCCTACATGGGGAGTATGTTGTGGAACCCCGGCGGACCAGGAGGCTCTGGCGTCGAGTCGGTTGCTGCTCTGGGGCTCAAATTGCGAGAGTAGGTCATCGTTAGCACGATTGCTTCTCATTTGCTAACCCCAGCCATTGGTTGTAGCATTGTCGGAGGAAATTACGACATTATTGGATTCGATCCTCGGTGGGTATCGTGCCATTTTAGCACCCTGCCTTCATTATGTTTGCGACTGACACGTTCTCAGAGGCACTGGCAAAACCATTCCATACGTCTGCAACGTGACAGCGGCTGAGACTTCCGTTACCCGACGTGATTTTGAGACGCTCCCCAAGGGCGATATCTGGAACAGCATCAAGACGGTAGACTGGGAATCCTGGAAAGTCACAGCCGATGCCTGCTTCAGAGACTATGCCAAGTACGGCCGCTTCGTTGGTACGCCTTTCGTGGCTAGAGACATGATTTCGATCGCCGACGCCCTCGGCCAAGGCCCTAAGGTGAACTACTGGGGCGTCTCATACGGTACCGTTCTCGGGCAAGTCTTCGCCTCCATGTTCCCTGATCGCGTTGGACGTCTTGTCTTGGACAGCAACCTCATCGCCGACGACTATGCCGATACCACGTGGAAAACCGGCCAAAGAGACACGGAGCGCGCTTTGCACCACCTCTTTGACGAGTGCGTCGAGGCCGGTCCTGAGGTCTGCGTACTGGCTAACTTCACCGGCGCTGATACTACCGGGGACAGCCTGATGAAGGCACTCGAAACCCTTCTCGAGGAGCAGATCAACGACAAGAATGACACCGCCAACGAGAAAGACGATCTCGTGTCCCTCTTCAAGATATCCCTGTTGACAGAGCTATACAAGCCGCTGCAATACCCTCTAGCCGTCGCAAGAGTCCACGCCGCCTTGACAGGCAACTGGACCCGCGCCATTGCCTCTGCAGTTAATGCACTGCCGTCCGAATGGAACGAAGGCGGCACCTTTGGCGTCTGGGGCATCGCCTGCGCGGACTCGTCTTTCCGCGTTGAAAACGTCGATGATCTGTACTCCATCTACCGGACCCATTGGGAGGGCAGTTCTTTCGGCGACGCCAGCGCCAGACTGCGCATGCCATGCTCTCGCTGGCGATTCGATGCCGCTGAGAAAATCGACCTCAACGCTTTGAGGAACGTCAGGACTAGCTTCCCAGCCCTCATCATCAATGGGCACTGGGACCCAGTCACCCCTGAGAACACGGCGTGGGAGGTTTCTGCGCGGTTCCGAAATAGTCGGGCTGTTATTCATCATGGTGTTGGTGTAAGTACTCCAGGTCACTTTCTCCGCGAATATCAATGCTAACATGTCTTTCAGCATGGATATACCAACCACCCCTCGAGTTGCGTGGACAATATCGTTCGTGAATATTTCCAGAATGGCAAGATGCCTGAGATCGGGACTACGTGCGAGCCCGATATGAGTGCATTTGAATACGTCGCTTCACAAGCAAAGAAGGCAGAAGAGAGTGAATAGCCGAGGAATAGTCTATCGTTTTGAGGCTTCGTAACTACTTTACGCATCTGGAGCGGCTTTACGTTCATTAATGCGAGTAGAGAAGCTGTTTCTTCATTTCCTTGTTCAGGCTTCGGGATTCTGCCTTGTCTGTTCACTTCTTCTGGGTTCACTTTCTTTTCTCCATCAGATAGCATCATCGTATTTATTCATTCCATCACAAGACTTTCCTTCCCACGCTACTTACTTCGTTTAGCTACGGAATCATACAGCCTCATTTGAGAGTTTCCAAGTGTCCCGCGTAGTCCCACTTCTTGCCGTCCCTCCAAAAGCCTTCCACCACCGGCTCATGCGGCGTCTTACCGTCCACCGCCACCTCATTCAGCCAACTCCAATACGTCGTCGCCTTCCATCCATTCGTCTTCCAGTCATTGATGTCCCTGTCCGGCTGCTTGTTGAATACTGGCAACACGTCCAGTAGACTTGCGTCGTGCGCGATGCAGACCATGACATTGTCCTTGATATCCAGCTCACGCATTTTTGCAACCGACTCGGTAGCCAGGTCAATGTCGGTATAGACGGGGTGTTTACCTCCACGAGGTAGCTCATACCAGGGCGTGATCGACGCCAATTTCTCGTCTGACGCATTAGGATGGTGGGGAGTAAAGTGGGAGCATGGGCACATGGCCTTGGACGCCCAATCTCTGCGCAATGCAATGGCCGAGGCGGGGATTCCATCCGGGAGCGGGGTCTCTTCGGACGGCCGGAAGACACCTGCAAAATGGCAGATGTCACCGCCCAGGAAGACGAATGTGGCTCCCTCAGGGGATGAGGATGGCGTCGTCCGGGCGAGACCGCATATGTGCTCTGGCTGATGACCCGGAGCCTCAAGAAGGTAGAAGGACCCGTCACCAAAGAAGTCTTGGGCTTTGAACTTGCCCACCATCAGACCTTTGTCGAAGTTAGCTTCCTCGAGAGGCCGGCCTTCAAATTCTGCTGCTGCCTGTGGATCATCCCTTCCCCCGGGTCTTCCTTTGGACGAGAAATATCCAGGTCCTGTTACCAGGGTTGTTGATTTGGGAAAGACGGACACGTCTCCGCGGTGGTCAAAGTGGGCGTGAGACCAGATGCAGTAATCTGTACGGTCGTCTATGAGAGCATGTTCCTAAAATCCATTTCAGAGAAAAGGGCTCCTACCAATTAACTTTGGATCTACTCCTCCATCCGCCAACACCTCATCAATGCCCTTTGGTACACTCATGCCAAAGATTACGCTATCTGGCCCCAGCACTCCTTGTTGGGCGCCCTTGGGCAAGTTCCAGTAATCTTTTCGGACACCAAGATCGAACATTGCCTTCTTTCCGAGTTTCTCGTGTTCGAGGAGGAACGCTAGCGAGCAAAAATTGATGACTTCATGCCCCTTCACGACTGGCTGAACGAAGGACTCGGCCACACCGACCATGGCAGTTGTCGTATCGACAAGCTTGACGCGCACGACATTGTCTGATTTTGGAATGTTGGCCATTTCGTCGATTTGTTGATGAACCTGAGTATAGTGGGTTTACAGACTATGAGACAACTTTAGGGCGATAAAGAGGGGAGAGATACTAGACAAAGTTTCCTGAGCCGCATGGCGCCCCGACGTCATCGGTGATTATCAAATGAACATGTCTTCTCCACTTCCCCAGGTTTTTGCATCCAATGTGAAAGCTCATTGCTCTATCACCGCACGACGTTGGAGGTGCAGGAAATACTTACCCGAAGGTGCCGCAAACCAGCCAGCCATTGTAGAGTCCTGCCACATACAAGCCACAGCTGCAACTTCGTATCGTACCACCGGTCCGTGATGGAAAAACAAGTCTCTTTAAGGAATTTGTACAAATGCTTAGCGGGGAGTCGAGTATCCCAGAAATTCAACCTCCGAACGCCTGCGCGCGTGCCAAATGCTCTAGTTTAGTAATATATCGTACCCGTCTCCCATGATGCGAACCTCTTCGCTGCCGAGACCGTACTTTCGTCGCACCAGTTCAAAAATTATCAGTCCAGCGCTTGTGCTAGGAACTTGGCGGATGGTGTTCCACCAGAAACCGCGCCATAGCCATTTCCTCACACCTAACCCTTCCTTTGCGGCCTCTGCGCAGCATTCTGACCAGGTCTCTTTGTAAGCCCGATAATAGGCCCTCGCCATCTTCCATCCGTCTCTACGTTGTGTCTGGTCGGCTCCCTTGGTTTCCCTCAGTTTCGCTGCCTTGGCGTCGAGTTCCTCGAGGCGATCCCAGTGCTCCACTTGCACATGAGTCAAGGGATGAAGAACGACTTGTTGGGCAAAGGATGCGCTGAGTCCTCCGAGGAGCAAGAAGATAGGCTCTATGGCATAGTGCGGTCGAATGATAAGAGGCTGTTTGTTGTCATCGTCCGGTTTGCCATTATTCGCAGGTCGCTTTTGGGCCATGAAGTCTACAATGTGCTCTTCAAGGCCGCCGTAGTACCACGAGACGAAACGGTAGTATCCTTGAGCCTTGACGTATTCGAAAACGCTGAAGAAGACGGCCGCGCCGAAACTGTCCTTCATGAGAGAAAGACCCCATCCCGCAAAGATGCCACGCACACCAATCTCCCTCAGCTTCTCGGCACTGAAGGCCCACATGCTTCTAGGCTTCCCGCCCTCCGTTGGCATGAGGTCGCGGTGATCATACCGTGCCTGGATGGCATCTAAAGGTGCCGCGATAAAACTCTGGAGACTTCCGGCGAGAAGTCCCGCGGTGAAGGTTTGCGTCGGGTGTGGTGGTGGGTAGACAGTCTTTGTCGCTCTGCCGCTCTCCTCATGCAAGTTGCCAAGGATAGTGAGGTAGCTGGTATACAGCACGGCTCCGACGCCCACGTTCGCGATGAGCGGCGGCAAGACTTGATTCGGGAGCACGCTCCAGCCGTGCTGCTTCACCGCCGACGTGAGCACGCCCGGCGTCGTGCCCCGCAGATAGAACCATGCCTGATTCAGCGTCGCTTTCAGCTTGGTCGAGGGCTCCTTCGCGGCGGCCTGGGCGAGCAGCTCGATCTGGGCCTGGTGCACACTCCGCGCGTACGCGAGATAGTCGACGCGGGTGCGAAAGAAGGCCTTGACGGGAGCGCGGAAGTAGAATGCAATGGCCTGGGCGCTCAAGGCGCGCACGCCGGCGGCCGATGCTGCGGTTGCAGCGTTGCTGCGCGGATTCTTGTCCGGAAGCTGGGCATCAGGCGGTAGGACAGGTAGGACGCCTGTAAACGGGTCGTAAGTCGTTGTGCCGTCATCGAGACGTCGTGTCATTGTATACTGCTTTTCATCGTCCCCTACAAGTGAAATATCCTGGATGAGATTCAAGACGGCAAAACTTGGCATCGGTTGAGATCGGTTCGCAGATTCTAGATGCGATGACTAAGCGCATGACCCGGGTATAGTGGATCCCTTATGCCGGGCGTCCCCTGACTGTGACCGTCAGCACGAGGTACCTAAGGCAACCACATGATATTTCCAGCTTGAGATCCCATGACAACCCCCAAAGTCTAACATTTATCTTCCAGGAGAGTTTCTGTATCAGGTTAGAAAATAACGTCTCGAATTTGAAGTCCAAGAACGAGAAGGAAAAAAATCTTTTCTTTCCGGAAATGCTTATTTCTTGACGTGGCAAATGTCAAATGTGAAGAATAATACAGATCATATCAATTAGACTCCAATGTCAAGTTTTCTCTCTATTCATGTACACATATTGTCATGTTGTTGGTGATTTACATATATAAAATGATCGGTAATACTCTATTTTGGCTGCTGGGAAAAGGCGTGTAGCCATCGGCAAGATTTGATCGAACGGTCTCAGAGCATGAAGAGTTTTATAGATTCTAGTAGCAACAGCAGTCGCATTTGTTGTCAGATGAACGCCTGATAATGTGAGCGGAAAAACTAAAAATGATCTCGGAGAAGATGAGCACGAACCAAGATCCAGCATAGCCACGTTACTCATTCTCGTCGATGCACTGCAGTGTATTAGTGAATCGTTCTTTAACTTGTCTAACAGAGCCTGGAAACCAACCTGGCCACAACGCTGACCACACGCCAAGGTATCGTCGCCGTTACAATTGCCGTTCTGTGCCAAGTCGTCAGTCTACATTATTCTTTATTGAAAATATCTTACCAGGGTCAAACATACTCCTCAATGCCTAGGGGCTGTTGGCAGTCCAAGGTACTCTGGCGACTTCAGCGGAAGCTTGACTACTGGAAAGGTGGAGGGCAATGGCGGTAGCTTTCATATTGGTAAGAGTTATTTGTAGTGTGTTATGAGCGGCCGTGGTGAGAACTACTATTGAAATTTGGAGGGTGATATACTGGCAATGGTAAAGGACGCCAAGGGTATTGATAACTTGATAGTCTGACATTGACGGTTGCCATTGCCTAGGTGTACCCTTAATTTACACGCTGCAGCGCCAATAGTCTCACTTGCGCACCCTGAGGCTGAATTCACTCTCGAATAGTGAACTCAACTCCGTTTCAAATTACCCAGTTACCATGTCTTATCCCTTTACGTGATAGTCACTCTTCACGCCAAGTACTTCTAGTAATCTTGCAAGTCTGCGAGTCAGCAGTCTTAAACCCCGGTTGGTGTTTTGTATACAGAAACAGGTGGAATTGAAAAGTTTGAGGGGCTCTTTAATCTGTGAATGGCATTGAGCATGATTCAAGGCTTGAGTCGGTCGGAGGTTCTGTTGCACCGGTGGCAATGTGTATTAGTCGTGAGTAATCTAAGCACATATGCACACTCTTCTTGGGACGTCTGCTCACTCAACACCCCTCGCGCTTACGTTGGGAGCGGTGATCAGTCAGTCACCCAGTGGGTATTTAGACTGGAGTACGTCCCCTCGGCCTCTGCCAATTTTATAGTGACTGGGATTTTTCACCGACATGGTTCAAAGAGAACGTTATGTTACTCAGTTGTAAAACGGCACAAGAAGTTTCACAGCCTGCCAGAATGAATTCGGAATAGAAGTGGTCATGGAGTAGAAAAGATCGATGTTGTGCATAAATTCCATTCCGGAGAGAATGGTTGATGGCAGGTGCTCCCTGCAGGGCGTATGACTAATCCTACAGCGGCCTGTTCCTGTATCTTGCGCTAAGCCCGACTTCTGATGGCGGCCTGCGCTACTTTCCTCCCTGAGGCACAGCAACTACAACTCAACACCCCAAACGACCACGTAAGATGTGGCACTGCCTTCATCGTGATCGGGTTTCCGCACTTCGGTAAGCTAGTCACGATCCATCTCGGGCATCATGGAACTGCCTCCCGAAATACTCGACCAGGTTCGTTGAATCTCTTGCGATTGTGTGCGGTCGGCTAATCATGCGCCTTCGATAGGTACTGGATGGGTTGATGGTCTACCAGCCGCTGCCAAGAGTCCGGGGCGTCTACTCTCTAGATGACTGGAGGTTTTTCACGTCACAATCTGCGCGGCTTCCTGTTGGCACGCGCCACGATTCTGGCATCTTGATGGGATTTAACCGGGGCGAATTACCCCCCATCGGATGCGGCTTTTGGAACTTGCGCTTGGTCTCGCGCCAATGGAACTCCTCCGTCATCAGAATGCTGCAGAAGCACGATTGGTGGAGTGTACCCTTTGATGATCGGAATCGCCTCGAGAAACTTCTGCAAGTCTCTGACGGGTCTGATGGCGGTCCATGTAGTTGGATCAGAAACCTCAATCTCCACGATCTCGATGGACTACGAACTTTTTCTCGGCTTTACTCGTACGACTTTGAGATGTAAGATTTACTCGTCCACCACCATGTCCTAAGCAATCCTCGGTTTTGTAGAACGCCAACAAGCCTACTTGAATTTACTGCCTATACAAGAACGAACGACTGACCCAAGACTGATGCAGGTTCGAGGGTCAGGATGTCGACGACGACTACATCATCTTACACTCCTATGTCGACAAACTTAGGACGACAGATTGGTGGACCTCGGACCCGACACGCTCTAGACATGAGCTCCATTACGGGAAGAACAAGGAACACGCGCTTCTTCGACGCTTGTTTGACACTGTCAAACACATAGAGCGCTTCAGTATTGAGTTCCCTGCGGCCCATAGCAAACACGATCTCATGGCAAATTGTTACGATATGCAAGGCGTAGATGAGATTTTAGCAACAGTGAAATATGGTCTGACCAGTCCGGGATTCCAACACTTGATGGACCTCAGCTTTGCGGTGCCTTCGACGTGGCATATTGGACAATTAGCTGGTGGCCTCTCTCAAGATGCCCGGGATCGCCTTAGGAAGCTACGTTTGGTCATCGTCGACGAGACTGGACCGAGCGGAAGCGCACAATACACCAAGATAGAAGAGGAAAATAACGACGGCGATAGGACGACTATCCTGGGATCGGTTGCGCCGAGTAATGTGCAGGCAACCTATCCCAACAGAGAACATCAGGACGCACTCTGGGCCTTGGTGGCATCTTGCCCCAAACTTGAGGCACTCGGCATCGAGGCGACGCATTATCTCAACTTGGACCTTCAACAGTGGAAGAATCCACGATTTGGATCCAAAAATCTGCGCGACCTCTCGCTTCGCCGGATATGGACAAACGTTCGCTCACTTCTGCAATTATTGTCAGCTGTCCCGTTATCGTCACAGGATTCAGCGATCCGCCGAGTCAACTTTGACGACGTCAAGATCCACTGGGATGGGGGCAACTGGGAAGACGTATTTGCGCATCTGAGGACGAACTGCCCTGATCTTGAGATCTTTCGCGCAGAACAGCTCAGCTACTTTTCCAACCATCCGCGTTACGAGCACAACAACAGACAGTGGGAGAACTACAATTCTATCTGGACAGACGACTACGATGGAGACGCTAATGACAGGTTGTTCTTGCAAATGCTCAATATGAAGCTAATCAGGAAGAATGGGTCGCAAAGGGACTATCCTGTTTCGGTATATGATTACGATTCCGAGATGGAGGGAGAAAAACCATAGGTACCTCATTCAGGACTCGGTTGAAAAGCCGCGAAGGCTCGCAGCATATCGAACACCATTTTTCAGCGTGCACGCTCCTCTCAGACTACATTTGATCTTTGGTTTTGTTCATAGTCTCGTGCAAGTCCGAACATTGTGGTCCCAACAGAAAAAACGGTCAAATGCCTAAACGAGGTCAAATATTGCATGCATTCAGCCGTTTGATCAGGGATACGAACCCCTGGGAAGCTAGATTCCCAAAAGTTCGGCTTCGGCTCCATTGATCGAATCATCGGCTTCGGCTTCAAGGTTCATTCCCGCCCGGGTCCAAGTAAACGAGACAAGCAGAACCAGACATGATAGATGCAATGCAAAAGTCGGTGATTCGATCGGCGGAAAGTCGCATATACAATATCTATGTGGCACATTAGTCCGGTCCCTGGCAGCCTGCAGAGTGCTGCCCAGGAAACTCCCGAGTGGTTCTCAATCTTGCCAGTGATAGACTTCGATCTGTGCGACATCGATTTCGGCAGCTCTCCGTACGCGATTGAGAAAGGTTGGTAGGCCAAAATTGATGCAAAGATTCAGCGGGATGGAAAGTTATACAGAAAGGCGAGACGGTGGCACATGTACGACAGCATCTCGGCAGGTGCCCATGTACCATATCGGGTCGGCTCCGATATCCGGCACCGGAACGGGACCCCCGCTGGCCGGGATGGAAGGAACCCCCCACTCGGGGATCAGATCCTTCGGCCCACTGCAAAAACGCCGCTCTGGACAAGTCTGCAGCGGGAAAAACAAGACACCCAGCTGGGGAAGTGGGCAACATCTCCTCCGTCCCTCCCCATCGTTGGGCGGTGTTCGCGCATGCTAATCAGGTAAGCTAAACGGGCACATGTCGGCTTGAGTCCGCGCTGTACGCTTCTGCCGCCTTTGCATACCCGCTATTACGTGATTGGACAATGAACAAATTTGAGGCCATTGGTATGGGCAACGGCGACGGAAGATGGAGGGGCAGGATAAGGATCTCTTTAGTTCGACGCCCTTAATGTACACGGCAAGGTATCCCCCGTCCTAGTGAGAGTTGAGCGTGATGCAGATGGAGGGGGGAGAAGCGAGGGGTCAAAGTAGGCCGTAAGACTGTAGGAGGGCCAACGCCGGCGCTGACAGTTGAAAAGAGTCAGCAGGTCCGGCAAACTTGGACTTGCCAGCGCGCAAAGGCCGGGGCCGTGACCGGCGGTAAGCGGTAGGCGGGAGCAATACCGCGGCGCCATGTACTTCTTGGGTCGTTTTCTACATGGCTGTTTGCTACCAACGTTGATATTGTAAGGTCCCTTAGAGAACAAGGAAACGGCGGATCCCAAGAGTGGAAAAAAAAAAAAGGTACAAAAGTAGGTACACCGATTTATTGAGTCAACGGCTTCCCGGGGCAAGGGTGAGCAGAAAAAGGCGTGCTTTCCTCGCGCTCGCGTCCCATCTCAATGCGGAATTTCTCTTTCCTGCCTTACCTGAGATTCACCTCTTTCTCTTTCTCGGTATCCAGTCCAAGGTACTTTCCTCTTTCACCTCGCCTCATCCCATCTTTCTTGACTCGTGACATTCCCTTGGTGTGTGTCACCTATGTCATCGAACTGTGTTTCCGGAACCTCAATCCTTTGAGACTGAACAGCAATTGTTAGCAGGACACCAAGGTCGTTAGACTTGACTTTTTTTTCTCCTGCGCGCGGTCCATCTGCAAGACTCTATCTCACATCTGCAGAATATAGATCTCTCGAGTAAGCTTTTCTCAACCCCGGCCCCATCATACCTACCAAGACCGCACAAGACTGATTCATGAAGGCAGATCTCCCGCCCGGTCCCATCGTGAATTTTTTTTGAATGCCACCCTTGTCTGCTCTTCCGTAAAAGCCATTCCTCACAATGGCACCCCGGAAAGTCAACCCGGCCTCGTCGTCGGCGGCGTCAAACGGCAACCACTCCACCGAGCGCACGCCTCTCCTCCAAGTCGACGAGCCCACGACCCCTCTCCCCATCACCCCGCAAGACGAAAACGCCATCCCGCCAAATGAGTTCGACCTCTTACTCTCCAGGTCCATTCCCTCCACGGGACCCTTCCTCGAGCCCGAGTCGACCGTGAACCCCCTCCTCCGCGGTCCCCGGCGCTACAGCACGGCCTCCAAACACCGCCGGCCCTCGCTCGCAAGCCGCTCCGACCGTGCCTCCGAGGCCGGAGGCATCGCCGCCGTCGACGACGACAACGACAGCGACAACGACAACGACGATGCCGTCTCCATCAGCAGCAGCGTCGCCTCGACACCGTTCCTAAACGGCATCTCCCGCTCCCGCTTCTGGTTCATCTTCTCCGAGATCCTCCTCACCTACTTCATCGCCTGCTTCGACGGCACCATCATGGCCTCGTCCCACCCCGTCATCACGTCCTACTTCAAGGCCTCCAACAGCGCCTCGTGGCTGTCGACGGCATTCTTGTTGACGTCCTCGGCCTTTCAGCCCATCTTGGGCCGGTTGTCGGACAGCGTGGGCCGGAAGCCGCCGTACGTCGCCACCATGGTCATCTTTTGCCTCGCGACGGTGTGGTGCGCGCTCGCGCAGAGCATGACGAGCTTCATTCTCGCCCGGGCGGCGTGTGGACTTGGCGCCGGCGGGATGATGACGCTGGGTAGTATCATTGTTAGCGATTTGGTTCCAATTGAGTAAGTTGTTTCTCTAAGTCTACAAAAGTCTTTCTTGTGCGCTTTTGTAATAATGCACACGAACATGTCTAGCATGACATACCTTGCAATGGGAGCACAGTCACTGTGAGAAGCGGTTTAAAAGCTGATCATGAAACGCAGGAACCGCGGCGCATACCAATCCTACATCAACATGATCTATGGCGTCGGCTCCGCCCTCGGCGCGGCCTTGGGCGGCGCCATGGCCGACCACCTCGGCTGGCGCTGGGAATTCGGCATCCAGGTCCCGCCCCTCATCATCTGCTGCATCATTGCCATGATCGCCGTCCCCAGCGACCTGGGCATGGCCGGCACCAAGCGGGAGAGCTTTGTCGAGGCCCTCAAGGCTTTTGATTTCAAGGGCTCCATCCTCCTGACCACGGCCATCACCTTCTTCGTTCTGGGTCTTGTAAGTCTTGTCCTCCATTTTGCCCTCTTATAGAATGACTTGGGATGGATCTGTACTATGTAGTGGCCTCACCACTTGCCAGACTCTTTAAATATGTGAACTAACGTCTTCTTGTCGCAATGTTGTAGAACCTCGGAGGAAATGTTCTCCCTTGTAAGTGGCTCTCAAATCACTCCCATTGAATGCGGTTCCTCCTCTCGAAACAGTAAGCTAATAGAGATTCAAGGGTCCCATCCTCTCGTAATCGCATCTCTCGCCATCTTTGGCGTCTGCTTCCCCGTCTTCCTCTACGTTCAATCCTACGTCAGCCGCCCCATCATGCCCCTTTACCTCGTCCGCCGCTCGCCCCGAATGAACCTCATCTTTTCAAACTTCTTTGCGGCTCTCCTCAGCAATGCCATCCTCTTCAACATGTAAGTCCCCAATATAGTCCCCGTATACATCCAAACAATCTCGAAGACAGGTGACTCCTCCAAGAAAACTTCAAAATTTAACCCAGCGCACAACAGCCCCCTCTTCTTCCAAGCCGTCCTCCTCACAACAGCAACCTCGTCAGGCCTCAACCTCGTCCTCCCCTCCATCGTCTCCTCCATCGTCGGCACAGCAACAGGCTTCCTAATCACCTACACACGCCGCCTCAAATGGCCTGCCCTTACCGGCGCCGTAGGCCTCCTCGTCGGCACAATCGCCCTCTCCACCATGCGGCGCGGCTGGCCCTCCTGGGTCTACCTCCTCTGCCTCGTCCCCTCCTCCATCGGCCAGGGCTTCCAGTTCCCCGGAACCTTCATGGCCGTCCTCGCCGCCAGCGAACAGCGCGAGCAGGCTGTCGTGACCAGCACCCTCATCCTCTGGCGCTCGCTCGGCATGGTGTTGGGCGTGGCGAGCAGCAGTCTCGTCGTGCAGAATGCGCTGGTGGGGTATCTGGACGAGTACGTACAGGGCCCGGACAAGGACGAGGTGATTCGCAAGGTGAGGGAGAGCGTCGAGTCGATTGTGAAGTTGCCGGCTGCGTACCGCGAGCAGGTCGTCATGAGTTACGAGGCGGCTTTGCGGACAACGTTTTTGTGTTGTGTCGTGATTGCTTTTGTCTCGGTGGCCCTGCTTGTCCCAATCAAGTTACCCAGACTGGGTGCGAGGAAGACAAGCCGGTAAAGAGGTCCGGGTTATCATGCACTGGTTATGATGAATTTGGGGGGGAAAGTTGTCGTTGCGTCATCTTGTATGGCATTTGTGTTGCATAGATACTTTTAGCATTCTAGCGGAAGCATTTCGCGGTTCCACGTCATCATACAAGCTTCAATTTTTGCCTTGCCTTAAACCCAGGCCTAAGCCTTATCTTGCCTTGCCTTGCCTTTCTCTTCGCCCGTTATAAATACACGCGCATACACCAATCCCCCCCCCCCCCCCCCTTTCACCTCTAATAGTGACCATTCATCCCATTAACCCGCAACGCATCAAGCTCATCCTTGGTCCTGCGATACAACTCCTGCGCCTCGCGCTCCCTCCTGCTGACGAACCCGACCTCTTCCCTCAGGGCGCCCAGACGCCGCTGAATCGCCACCTCCTCGGAAATGGCCAGCGTCTTGAACCCACTGAGAGCGTTGTTGGCTTTCTCCAGGGCCTCGGCGGCCTCGCCAATTTTGTCCTTGAGCATCTTTTGGCGCTTCTGGTAGCCGCCCAGGTGCAGGCCCAGCTTCTTCTCGAGCTTGATGCCTTCCTCGGCCGTGCTGGAGATGGAATCTTGGATAGACTGTGAATGATGTTAGGTTATATTTTTTTTTTTTTGAAATTGAAGCATGAATAGAGGGTAGTGTGTGGTGTTACTTACGTCAAAGGCGGTCTTCATGGCTGCCTCCTCCTCTTCTTCGTCATCGCCGTAACATCCCAGGCCCAGGAGCAGAGAGCTCTTGCTCCTGGCCTCGAAGGAAGCTTGGAGTTCGGCTGGCGAAGGCGTCGGCTTCGTCTCCAACATAATCTGGAGACGCGCCTCGGCAAGATCGTCGTCGCTGATGGTGTCTAGCCGAGGAGCAGCGCCACTAATCTTGGAGCCAGGCAAGGGATACTTGACGGCATCGTTGGCGACCAAAGCAGCAGCCTCTCGCGCAATGAGCGCTTCGGCACTGTCCTGGAAAGACTCCGCATTCGAAAGCAGAGCTAAGACGTCCACCTTTGCCGGCCGCGGCAGCTGTCTCTGTATGACCTGTGTCCGTCTCCGCGCCTCCAATGCTTCCTGTGCTGCCTTGATTTCGCGTTCCCTGCGATCTCTCTCTCCAGCATCTTCCATTAACTGATCCTCATTCAGAGCAAGCTCCTTTTGGTCTTCAGGAAGTTCGAGCTCCCACTCGGTATCCTTGGGCTTGGGCAACGATGCAAGGCCTTGTCTCAGCTGGCTGCGCAGGACCAGTTCTCGCATCTTGACATCTCTCGGTGTCGCTGAGACGAGGGCCTGGCTGCCGTCGGCGTTCAAAGCAAAACTGTCGCGGGGCGTCCTCATTGGAGTCTGTCCAACGCGTGCCGGTGTTTGGCCAACGCTATCTGTGTGCATTGGTGTCGCCAGGGGGTTCGGTGTCGCAACCACTTGCTTGCGGGGGGCGACGCCATCGAATCCAGTCGACTCAGTTCCTTCGTGTAGCGGGGTATTCTCGCCGCCGAGTAGTGAAGACTGGGTGTTCGTCAAGGCTCTGATATTTCGGATCTCGTTTGCGATATGGTCTTCCTGGGCGGGAGCTCGAGGGGTTCGGATCGGGGCGTTGTTGTTCAGGGTCGAGTATTCGCTGACCAGGCCACGGGTTGCATCGTTCTCGCTCTGGCGTGCCATCATGCTTGCTCTCTCACCCATCATACCCATCTTGACAATCTCCTCCAATTCGCCCTCGCTGACTTGAGGAGCTGGCAGATTCAGCGCTCTTCTCTTGCTGCTCTGCTCAGCCTCTCGAATCTTTTGCATTTGGCCTGCCTTCACAGCGGCCTGGAATGATGCCGAAGGCGCCTCCTTTTCCTTCTTCCTCCTCTTATTGTCTCCATCGTCGTCGCCATCACCCTTACGCTTGCTCGCGAGCTGTTGTTTCCTCGGGTCGAAAGCCTCTCGCTGATGCTCGTTCCGGACCTGTTCTTCAGCGGTATCGTAGAATCCAGGGGCAGCCTTCTTCTCGAAAGGAATGTCGGCGTTGTAGTCCATCTGGCCCTTCTTGCGCGTGACGACCTTGATGTTGATGCCGGCCGTTTTGAGCTCGCGTCGCTTCTGCAGCGCCGCCAAACGGCGAGACTCCTCCTGCTGACGTTCTCTCGCCTTTCTCTTGGCCTTTTTGCCCTGTGTGTTGGCCAGACGCGCTCGGGCTTCGCTAAGCATCTCCTTTTCATCCTCGTCGAGGTCGATCGTGTCGGGTCGGGCGGGCTTGCTCTCTGGGTCTGGGTCGACCTCGCCGGGGCGCAATCGTCTAACATCGTCGGCGCTGGGTGCTGATGCCTCGCCACCATCAATTCCCGTGAGTCCGAATTGGCTGGCTTCTCTTGCTTCGGCTTCGTCGAGGAGTTTCTGGTATCGCTCGAGACACTGGTTGGCGGTTCGGCCGACGGCGGGTGCAATGGTGCGCCATTGTGTCGGCATAAGCTTGGCGAGGTGCAGAAGCTTCTCGTCCTCCTCCTTGCTCCATTCGGTCTTCTTGATGCTCGGGTCCAGCCATTCGTTCCATCTTGCCTTGCATTGCTTCGGGGTCTTGCGCGCGAGCAGTGACGAGACACGCGCCCACTGGTTCAGACCGTATTTTGACACGGAGGCCTTGAGAATTTCATCCTCAATATTGGTCCAAACGCCTCCCTTTACGACACCCATGATGACGACGAGGATTGAAAGATATCGGAAGGCGGCGCGAGTTGTGGTTGTCGAAAGTCCCCTTCGCGAGGGCGTTGCGCAAAAGAAATTGTGATGCGAGGCCAATCGTGAAGGATGGGTACACAAGGCTGAGAGCGGCTCGGCATATCTTAGTCAGCTTTCGAGAGTGATGATGATTGGCTCCACATCAAGCGCCTAATGCAGCTTACCGACGCACACCTCGATTTCCTCGGTGTAGCCGGTGAAGCTGGAAATTTCCAAGAGAAGTTGATGCCTAGTGTAGGTCCTGCTTGTCCGGATTGAAAGTCCGACAGGGTCACCAGTGCAAGCTCCTTTCTGGTCAGAACATTTGAAGCCATGCAAAATAAACTCTTGACAAAATGCTTTGACCTAAAGTATACGAAAGCCCATTCTAGCAATCGCATTCCCAGAAACACACCATTCTTGCATCTTCCTGATTCTAGATAACGGCGGCATTTTTACGAAACCCGCGGTTTCGAGCTGGAAGTTTAACATCGTATATGGTGCTGTCCTGCTCAAGGAATGTAGTGCGAGCATAGATCGAAGTCAATTACGACGACACAAGGTGAGGGTGCATGGATCTTGGCAGTGATTGGCGGCCCAACTCCGCTACTATATTGATAAGGGCAGCCGCATTCATGAACTCTCAGCTTGTCACCCCCTCACTTTCCTTATTCTGCTGCCGAGGCATAGTAGCATCCACGCGTCCTGTTGGGCTGAAAGAGAGGGGTTTCTTCTGTCTTCCGATGCAGAGCAATGATCAATTACAAGAGGCCATATGTTTGGGGGATGAGTTGTTCGTGGCGAGCTCTGAGCACTTGCTTTGCAATATGGCGTGGCGTCTGGGGTCCACACAGTTGAGCGGAGTCTACACAAGATGCCGACTCATGCTGTTCAACAAGCCGTTTCCTGGTATCAAGCACCGCGGAACACGGCAGCAGGCGGTCCAAACAGCACCGAGCACATGGCGAGAAAGGCAATGACAGCACGTTGTCGCTTGCGCAAAACACCGTCTGACAATTTAAGAGTGGCCGTCTCCAGCACGAGTCCAAACAAGACAGCGCACCCTCGCGGAAGCCCAGGGGATATGCCGTCGGATGGCGGCAAACACATCCCCCCAAAGACGCAGATGGGATAATCTATCTACGACCAAGTGGTCCAAGTCGCTCTCGGATTGTCTTGAGAGGGGCCACCGAATCGGAAACCGGAATACGATAACGACAACGATGAGACGAAACCTGCCGACCTGTCCAGCCCAGTGAGAGAGAGAGGGGGGACTTGGACAGAATTTCCAGAAAGCAGGGCAAGCTTTCAGTAAAGGTGAATGGAGAGCGTGGCGTCTTCCAGGACAGTGGTTCCGCGGGACCGGTCCGCCAGTCGGTGCTGAAACATGCCGACCACCGAACCTTGTCGAGTCGTGTTGGACGAAGTGTTGCTGTGCTGCCATTTTGGGCGTCAAAGTTCGTGCTGGCATTCAGGTAAAATGGGAGAAGATGGGAGTTCTGGATGCAGCATGTCTTTGTGTAAGTACTCACCAAGATACGTGGCACCGCGCGCGTGAGAGGGTTAATTCACTGTCTTTTGATAAACCGGACTTCGGACATTTGAAGCCTGCTGAACGGCGACAACGATAGTACTACCTAGATGGTTAGGTACGATGAGTTGACAGGCTGAAAGTTAACAACGTCTTTTTGGCGAGCCGGTGGGCGTTGGGACTCTGTCACTCTGTTTTCGGATAGGTCGTTCGTAAGACAGGCTGCGGAGTTGACTCTGGTGATGTAACTTGGAGCAAAGTGCCCGCGCGGGAGTGGCTCCAGCTTAGAAATCACCTCCCCAAGCTTGCGGAGTTGTCTACACTAGGTGAACTAAGCACGCTAAGGTACGGAGTACGTACACACTGCAGCAAAGCACCGAGAGACAAGAGTCTGGCCCCCCCTTCCAACAGAGCAACGGCGACCCTGACAGATCTGGGTTGTGGCTGAACTTCCCAGGTTCAGGAGGTACTGTGGCACCCCCCCTTATCGGCCTACAGCGTAGAAGCTGCGAAACTGCGTCATGGATAGGCCTGGCAGACGCCAACTCATGCGCCTTCTGTCCCACGAGATTGGTTCACTCACACGGGGTCACTCTTAAGTCCGGCAGGCACGCACCTATCCCACCGTCACACGGGATGGTTGCTCCTCAACCCGCGGCAGGAAGCGTCCTGTCGTCTTGTCTCGTCGTCACCTTTCCCTTCCCTTTCCTCTCGGTCTTTGTAACTTGTACCGTATCTCGTCTATTACCTAATGTACTAAGAGGTCTGCTTGGAAAAAGAGACTCAGAGAGACTCACAGAGACCTCAGTCCATTTTCCCCGATTCCCCGACCATGAATTAAGTACCTCCCTGTTTACTTCGGTTACGAGGATTTACAAGCAAATCACTGCCGTCTTCAGTTCCCCCTCGCTGGGCTAATCCCACCCACACAATACACCCAATACAACTCACAAACTCTCAGACATGACCGCAATATGATGGACCTTTTTCTTGTCTCCAGTCTCTATCAGAATCCCCGAGTTCCCCGTGGCCCGAAAGTACAACGCCCCCAACCGAAACGTGTTTAGGCCGTTACGGACGCCGGACGAAGCGTTGCGCTGCTCTGTTTCTTTCTGATCTTGTCAACGTCCCCACGCCGCTCCAATAGGAATCACTGGCGCCTCGAGAGATGCTATGACCTTCCGCTTTCTGAAGTGAACATTACGATCCATGTCCCCCGGGGGGGGGGGCGCCGCTGTTCCCATTCCATGAGTCCACGACACATCCCATCCCATTCCCATCCTAGCACCTAGTTTGGTCCATCCCACTTTGTTCCACACCCGTCTTCGAAGCCGCCCCCCCCCCCTGTTCAATTCTGGTTATGTGTGGTTGTGCAGTTGTCTCTCGCTCGCCCGGGCCCTTGGCTCGATTTCATCAGCGTCCATCGCTGTTCCACACCCGCCTTATCTCTTGATGTGGGCAGCGCACCCTGGTCCTCTGCTACGTAGCTCGGGTTTCTATTTCTTTTCCCATTCCCACTTCTCGTTGCGCCGCACATAGCGCTTCTCTTCCCTTGCTCATGTATCCATACCCCTCTGCCTTGCCAGCTCTGGTCCTTCTTCCGACTTGACAGTTACACTCTCGGAGAGGCGTCCAACTGCTGTGTACGTCCAACACGATCCTACAGGAATGGAATCGTGGCAGTGTCGCTCTGTACATCTTGCCGCGCTCGCCCCCAACTACACAGTCCAAGTCAGGATATAGCTCCAATACTCGACGACGGCTCTCCCAGAGACACAGAAACTCGAGACGAAACTTCGCAACCTTTTGTCTGTAAGATAGTAAGCTCAAAAAGGGTTCGGAACCTACTTGCGACAGTTGTGCTGTGTTCTGCACCAAGCACGCTACACTACACTACCTACACTCGAACTCGATACAGCGCACGCGCAGCAATAACAACAACAAAATAGTCAAAAATGTCGGCACCGAAAGACGACATTATAGTCACCCGGGTGGACCAGGACGTCCACGGGAAACCCATAAATGAGGCAACAGAGACCACATCGCTGTTGAGCGCAGGCGCTCGCGACGGTGGCAGCTCCTGCGAAGATACATGGCCGGGTTATGCGGATTTCGAACACTTGCCGTGGTGGCGGACTCCCTCTGTAGGATTCTCTCTTTCTGCCTCCGGCTCGGGCCGCCCTATGGTCCCGAACAAAGGTGCTGACTTTCCGTGCGCCAGGTTTTCTGGCTTCTCATCCCGTATGCTCTTTTCACGCTGGCCTTTGGAGGCTCGCTGGTGCCCAAGCTGAATCTGTATGTAAAAATGATCTCGTGATGTCTTGGCGGCCGATCGCAGTCGCTAATCTCGTGTGCGACATAGAATCGTCGATCTGGTATGCCAAAGGCATTTTGCCGATGAGACAGCGCTGGACCCGGCCTTCGCTTTCACTCCTGTGATACTGGGCGCGGATAACCCACAATGCCTCATTCCCGAGGTTAAGAAGCGTGTGTCTATGTTCACCCTGGCCATCAACCTGTTGACCGGCATCCTGTCCGCAATCACCGCGCCCAAGTTGGGTCAACTCTCGGACCGTTATGGCCGTCGGAAACTCCTGGCTCTGGCATCCTGCGGCGGCGTCGTGGCCGAGTTCATTGTCATCATGTGTGCCAACTTCCCCTGGACGTTCCACTACAACTGGCTGCTTCTCGGCGCCGTCGCCGACGGCCTCACCGGATCCTTCACGGCTGGTAGTGTTCTCATCAACTCGTACACCAGCGACTGCACCGCGCCGTCTCAGCGTGGTGTGCGCATCGGATATCTTCATGCCTGCCTCTTCAGCGGTCTCGCCTTTGGCCCCCTTCTGACAGGTTACTTTGCCGCCTGGACCGGCAACTTACTCTCCGTTTTCTATGTGACAATGGGATGTCACATCTACTTCATCATCTTTGTCGGATTCATCGTTCCCGAGTCTCTCAGCGTGAAGCGCCAGCTCCGCGCCCGCCAAAAGCACGACCAAGAAAAGGAGGCCAAGGCCGGGGCTGGAACCTGGTCCACGATCAAGGCGGCCAACCCTCTGGCTCCCCTCAAGACTCTCTGGCCTACGGGACCCGGCACCTCCTCGAGGCTGCGTCTCAACATCGCCGCGCTCTCCTTTACTGATATGATCCTCCTCGGCTCTGCCATGAGCGCCGCCACCGTCATCCTTCTGTACTCCGAGTCCCCAGAGACATGGGGCTGGGGCACCCTGGAGAGTTCCCGCTACATCTCCGCCGTCTCCATGGTCCGCGTCGTCGCGCTGCTCGTCGTCCTTCCCCTCGTCAACTACGTCTTCCGCGTGCGGCCCGCAGCCCACCGGAGGAGGGTCTCGGGTGTCTCCATCGTCGAGGCGAACAACGGCGCCGACAACGTCGACTGCTGGATTCTCCGCTTCGCCCTGCTCTCGGACGTCACAGGCTCCCTTGGATACCTGTTTGCGAGAAATGAGGCCGTATTCGTGCTCTCTGGTATGGTCACTGCTTTTGGCGGTCTCGGCAGTGCGACCATCCAGGCCGCCATCACCAAGCATGTGCCTGCGGATCAGGTCGGTCAGCTGCTCGGCGCCATTGGAGTCCTGCACGCTCTCTCGAGAGTGCTGGGTCCGATCGCCTTCAACACCCTTTACTACTCGACCGTCGGCGTCTTTGATCAGGCCATCTTCGTCCTCCTTGCATCCCTGTTTGGTTTGGCTTTGTTGGCCAGCTTTGTGGTGCGACCCGGTGGTAAGTTGTTCAATGCCGCTCAAGTTCTGCAAAAAGAAAAAGAAGAAGAAAAAACCCCCCCATTTGCTAACTGAAAACACAGTGTTCCTCGATGAGACTTATGAGCCTATTCCTTCATCGGCGCCCCAGCAGAGCTCAAACGCCAGCTCAGAGGCGCTAGAGGTATTGACGGAGGAAGAGATGATACCCAATAACTAAAGCTTAGGTTTCCGGTATGGGCTTTGGCGAGTTGTACGTTCTATGTAGTGTTTGTGTAATTTCACAAGAATAGCGAGAGGGGGATTGAGATACCTAGAACATAGACGTCAGCGCCATTGAGCGCTAGAGAGTAGTGGTTCTTTTGATTTAGAGCTTCGGCGATTTTGCCGCACCGGATACAAGAGTATCCCTCGATACCATCAATACACCTTTCCTTGATCGTTCAGACGTCCCTCGCATCGAGAGAGCGGTTCAAGAGTCGTGCTTCCTTTGCAGAGCTTTAACTGACCACATATGTTAACACTTAATGATTCTAGATCAAGGCTTTTGCCCTCCCTTGGCCTCGGTACCTTGGCCATTGACCAGACCTTTGTATGTGGAAATAGCTAGTACGACGGTCGTCCGTCCCTTGCTACGTCCAGAGCCAGTGAAAAAGACCATCAACACCTTCATCTCGATGAGATCTATATGCCATCCATCTCATGCCTATTCTTTGCCATACCGGCCACTAAAACACAACGCCTCTGCTGGCTCGGGATCTCGCTAGAAGCCTGCACAATGGTAAGTAGCCCAAAATGTGAGTTCGAGGCCGTTGAAGAAGCTGAAGGTGACATCTTCCCATCAGATATTCCCCCTCATCTGCCTGCTTCTCCTCCAACCCGCCTCTCTCACCCTCGGTGCTCCGCGACGGGCCATATCACCTCCTCGGCAGCGAGCAACCATCCTCGAAGCCGATTTCAAAGGAGACGGGGAAGACATGGTCAGAGAGATTCTCAACCGTCCCTATAGCACGAGACACAACGACGGCAGCGATAGTAACAGGCTCTTTTACGGCGTCCGCTTCTCCGAGAGCGATGAGGGCAGAGTGCGGGTTGCGCGGGCTGATCCGATCAACATGGAAGCTTTACGGAAGGCCATCGAGGAACATGCTCTAGAGTGGGCGCTAATCGAGGTGGTTGAGGATGACGACGACCTTTCTGACGACGACCTTTCTGAGGACGGGACGGATGAGATTGCCAAGAGAGTCTATGAGCAAGATGCCTTGGACGCGTATAGTTACTCTGGCCCCGCGAGGAGAGATGTCGAAGACGGTCCATGGAATCCGGTCCTCAGAGACGGAGGAAGCAGCGAAGATCCCTTTGCGAAGCCCAAGTTCCGCGAGGGACAGGGGGGTTTCGTTCAGTGCGCGGGATGCTCCGATACCAGAGGTGGCTCCGACGGATGGAAGAGATCTACGCCCTTTGTTGAGCGAGCAAACACCACCACCACCACCACCAACAAAACTCATCACCGGCACCCAGCAGACCTCCTCGACGCTCTCAATCGCAGCAACACAAGCCCATTAGCATGGGACCTACCCATTACTACCACCTCTTCCCTCCAAAAGCGCGGAGAAACAGACTGGACCTGCAACCGCATCGGCCAAAAAAACACCAAAGAAGCTCTGTTAATCATGTATGACGTCTTCAACAACGTTTTTGGCACCGAGCCCCTACGGGGCCTGACGAATCAGTGTTATGTTGCAGAGTGTCAGGACTGGTATTTCAGTTACTGCCAGATGTCGGTCGATGTCAAGGAAGAGAGGCCCGGCGCGCGGAAGAAGGTGGTTGATCGCGACCCGGGGAAGGGAGGCTCGTGTTATGCGGTCGCGGACGGAGAGGATTCGAAACGATACCATCGGTACTTTTTTGGGCATGTCAGTGCGAATCCGATCCCGAATTATGGTGGGGGGTTCAATGTGAGGAGGTGTAATTGAGAGGGTTAGTTTAGGAGGACGAGGAGTTCGTTTCTATGTGTAGACATTTGCTATGTATTTTGGCCAGTTACGGTGTTCTCGGAGCACATTTATGAGAGCTTATGAGTATTTCATCTATTGCTCTCTCTCGGGAGGGAAAAACAGAAGAAAAAGCCATAAGACAATGATATCGAAGCCTCACCTTAATAACCATATGTGATGTCGAGTGTAAGGAAATATTTGCACAGTTCGTACACAATGAGCGAGGCCCAAAGGCGTAGTCCCCACGGAACCAGTTCGCGCACTAACACAGTAAACGACATTTTGAGTTCAGCTCAATGGTGTTGCTGCACAGCACAGACCGAAAAGTAAGAATTCAATTACCACGTCATGAAAAAAGAGATAGAATCAATGAATTGATCACCTGCCTCGCCAAATGCTCTTACAGATTTCGGTATAAGTGGTACTTAATATTTGGCGTCGAGTCTTTTCAAGAAACCGCAAAAAAGTAGGCGTTCCGACACCGAGAGTCGAACTCGGATCTCTCCGGGACTTTCCATGAAAGCGGAGTATGCTAACCGCTACACCATGCCGGATTTCATGCTTTCCCTTAGTCTTACGTGGATTTATCAAGCGCACTCTGACTCTCCAGCTGCGCTCGTCTAACCGCCGTCCGCTGCAACCCGCCGTTTTCTATGAAGAGCAGCACTACAGTGTTCGTGCAAGTTGCGGACCTAAGCGGTCTTGAACTCGACCGAAGAGCCTTATCTGGCGCCGCCATCTTATTTAGAGGACGCCTTGAAGCCACTATTTACCTCAAAACCAGTGACTCTGAATTTCGCTCGTACTGATTGCGCCTCCCGCAACTCTCTTTTTGAGGGGGAATCTTCCGCCCCTCACAAGTTTAGGATTGCGCCCTGAAAGCCTGTCGGGAACCTCCTCCGCCACAACTCCCCGATCGGTTCCACTTCACCGAGTCGAGACGGCCGACCATATCCGATATGCCGGAGAAGGTCTGGAATGCGGGGCGAAGCTACCCGAGGAATCTGGTGGTCATCACATCCTCTTCAAAGGCAGTATAATGGCTGGTTTCCAACGCTACGGTGGCGGTGGAGACCGCGTTCAACCTGAATATCATTTCATACTATGTCAAGACACTCGCTCTCTTGTGAGATCTTCTCTATAGCCTGGAAGATCTTGTCTGGATAAAGCAAAGGAGAAACCGTCGTATTCTCAACAGTTGACCCGTCAAGTGTAAAGTTTCCCTTTCGTCAATTTAGACACGCGACCCCCATGCTCCACACAATTCCCAATGATAAGATCATGGGACTCATCGACACCTTCAGCGTCTCCGAACCTAACTTTGACGTTAGCCAAAAGCTTAGCCCTGGCCTCGTCTGAAAGCGCTCCGCCGCCGGCAGGCACGTCAAAGCTTGGGTTGCCCCTCGTCAAAGTCGAGACGTTCATGAGAAGCTTAGGAACCCATATCTTCAGGTTCAGCGCGAAATCCAAGACTGTTGTGAGTAGCAACACCAAAGTTGCCACGATGAGAACGATCATCCAGGGTTTGTTATATCGGAGGACTTGGACGCGAACGTGTACAGTGGCTTCTGTTTTTGAAAACACATAGTCGTCGTTTGATGGGAACTCTGAACTTCCCGTGGCCCATTTCGTCAGGCCGTCGTAGTTCTCTGGATGGCCTAAGAATAACGGCTCATTGCCTATCATGGCCCACCAGTAAGTATTCAGAATCTGACCCAGGCGGACTGAAGACAGCTCTTTCCCAACCTTGTAAACTGGTGGAAGGTCCCAGGCTGCTGAAGAGTTCAATCCTAGCTTAGGATCAACCAAGTATGATTGCACAATGGTGGGCGAGCCAATTCCGCCGCCACCGCTGTCGGCCATAGTATCGAAGTAACGAAAGAACCATCTCCATATGTTAACGTTCTCTTGTGGGCAACCGTCAAAGAAGGTTCTGTTTGTGGCCTGTCCGCCCTGCGGTGCTGAAGCCGACCGTCGCACTGCCGTGGCCTTGCAGTCCCAACCCAAGCAGAAAACCTGGACGTCGACGAATGACGTCGTCATGGAACATTTTGCCATTGTGTAACCGCCACTTGGTTGATAATTATCATAGTTCCAGTAGAGCAAGTCTCTGGCAGCGATTCGAGGTTCTGTGCAGCGATCATCTCGTCGCGTAGAGTTTTGCCTTCCATACGGGTAAGGAACGGTGGCTATATCGCCCCACTTGAATTCGTAATTGCATCTGCTTTCCATTATTCCTTCTCTTTTGTCGCATCCCTCCCGTATAGGGTTGACCGCTTCGGTAGCATTACCTGTAAAGTTGCGGAGGTCGATGCAGTCTAGCTTCAAATACGAAGTTTCTAAGGTGAAGCTTGACCGGTGTCTTTGGGAAACGTTCGCAACAGGTATTCCAACAAGTGCAGAGTACATGACTTCACCTCGGTATTGGTCCAGGGAAATCCAATCGTCATTGTTGAGCCAAAGATGTTGAGGGAAGGACTCAATCATGGGGATTTTGATGTTGCCCCAAGTATCTGTCCTTGAATTCTTGATTTCGTCCGTAGCCCCAAGTGATCCGAGAACTAGTGTGTTGATAGGAACTTGTTGACCTTGCATCCCTGCCGCCATATATCTTTGAGGAAAGCCAACGCTGTTGTTGAGGTAGGGCAGTACTGCGCGAGAGGAAATTTCCTCGGTCCGTGGGGACAGGACTCGAAGCGCCGCCTGTCCTCCCAGTGGCGACAGGGACCAAATAACCACCAGTAAGCCTCCTAAGCCCCCAATCCTCTTCAGATCAATTATAGTGGTGACCGTCCCAGTCAATGTGGTCGACCCGAAGAGGCTGTCTAAGGTCCCGATGCGCTCTCCTCGTTGGAGCCTCCAATGCCCGTAGCTCCTGACAGCCCTGCCAATGACGAATGCGAACATCAAGGGTACCGCCGTAGGGCCCTGACAACAGTTTTAATACTGAAAGTGGATTCTTTGGGGAAGCAATAAGTCTTACGAGCCGGGAGAATTCACTAGCGAACTTCCACATCGTTGGGATGCTCTCAATGTTTCGGCCATCATTTAAGAGCAAAATACCGATGTATGTTATGACAATAGCCACTATGAGTAAGGAAAAAATACCAAGCAGAAGTTCTGATGGTTTCGAAAGACCATTCTTGAGCCTTTGCGGAGGCCACTGCAAGAGTCTCGACTCTCCTTTGATAGAATTTGACGAGGCCTCGCGTCTGGCCTCTTCGGATGTGTCCATGGTCGGCAAGTTGTGTTTGCGAGTGAGAATTATCACGATCGTAGATCAGATATGAATTGTCGGTTTTCTGAGCCTATGTAGTGTCGACTGTAAAACGGAAATTGCCAGAGTGGGCAGGAGTTCAAGTTTCAAGTCTCGGAAAGACATAAGGCGTGAAGAAAACAAGTGAACATACGAAGTGACAAACGCGACCTACCTACTTTGTCGGGTGTGATATATACTGTCATCAGGCTAGCAGGTCATAAGCTGTTGCAGAAAGGGTAGGAGTGCAAGTCACAGGCTGGGCCGCAAAACCAATTGAAGCGCGCCTTGCAACACTGGCCTGCATATTCGCTACTCGCTTGCAGAGGAAGGATCTGAATGTGTCGCCCAGGTCCAGAGAGCCGGCAGGATTCATATTGTGCTGACAGAGGCTTGGCGTGGCATTCTGGCTTTCATCCTTGATTATGACTGGGTGCCTGCTCGTCGCCGTCAGCTTCTTGGGCAACCGCGCTGCGTGGCAAGGAGGACTGTGCCACCTGGACATCATCCGGGTTGGCGAGCGGGGGGTTGTCGGTAAGCTCAGGTGCGTGAGAAGAAATGAAAGGATATGATTTCAAAGAGTTAGCTCATCTGCAAGACAATTAGGATGGCAAGTTTGAGCATAGCGTACTTGGGGTTAACTCCCCGAATAATAAACAAGCCTGCTGTTGACTCGTCATCAATTGGTATAATACAGTTTCATCACAAAGTCGTCATTCCACGGCAGCGTTAAGCATTCTCCTCAACCCATTCCTCAACTCTCTCCACCAGCTCGCTCTTCTTGCCTGCTGTGCTCTGCCCCCTCGCAGCAAGCACCTCCTTGAGATCTGCGACTAGCATCTTACTTAATCCACCACTGTCTACAGCAGCCTTGAGCTGCGCCGTCGTCATACCAGACCCAGAAACCTTTGCGGCCTTCGGCGCCGCCTTTGCTCTCTTGGCTGGCCTGTCGTCCTCACCGTCGTCCGCCTCGCGCTTGATGGCTGCCTTTGCTAACGCTATCTTGGTCTCGTCCTGTAGGGTCTCGGCCCAATCATCCAGGTAACCGCCGGCGCGCTTGCTGATGGCCTTGTATTTTGGCTCTGTGAGATCTTCCGCCTTTTCAGGATACTCCTCCTCGAGAGCCAAGACCTGGAGGATCTTGTAGTGCCATTGTAGCGACGGGTTGGGGTATTTCTTGGGGTTGTACATGGCCTTTGGCAGCTGCAGCTGCTGAACGATGATGCGCATCTCGTCGATGAGCTCGTTGGAACTAACGACGTGATTACTTGGGGGCTCAGGGCCTTCGCGCAGGTCGTCAGCGAAAGGGAGCG